ACTGTCTGCCATTTAGGTCACACACATGTAATTAAGAGTTTAGATTATAGAAGACTTTTCCTTATAGTGTTCTAGAAGGCACATTTGGTACTGTGCATGTGCTGCAAGGCATGGAGATGCTACCACCTACCTCTACATATGTGCGTGAAAATAAAGAAGAGTTCTGGATCATTAGGAAACCCAGGGTTTTTTTTGGCTGACCCACACAGAACAAAATGTTTACCACACTTCTGTGGCAGCAGGTTTGAAAAAGGGGGGGATCTGTATTCCGAAGGGATTATTTTATCATTTTGCCCAGTGTAAAGAAGCGTTTCTCTCACTCCGAGTCAGAATTCGTGACTTCAATGGGAATGCCTTGACTAATTCATGGCCTCCAGGACTGCCTCTAATATTTTATTAAAGCAATGAGGTAAGAGCAATGAGCAAAGAGGGCATGGGTTATCAGGGATATTATCACTGCTTGGTGCGTTATCAGGCATGAGGCACGGTCAATATACATTCTAACTTGTTTATAAAAATGGCGTTCTTTGGCCAGAACAAGAAATTCAGATATACTTCAACAATTGTTTAAAGAGATGTTTTTAGTGCACTGCAAGAAGTGATGAGAAAATAGTGCTATAAAATACTGCTTTTCTTGTTGCTGTTTTATTTAGTTCTTTGTTTTGTTAAATGTACAGTATAACACAGCATTAAATGCCTTTAAACACAGGCATGGCCCAAAACTTGCTAAGAAGTGAGGATAACAGCACAAGTCCAAGCGGTTTAAGAGGCATCTTGCTTCCAAAGATGGTTGTGCTTTCCCAGGAGATATGCAGGACATTTATTTTGGTTTTTAGAAATATTAGAAGTAATCCATCTACTCTATTCCAGTTCTATTTTGTCATTCGCTATATCCCTGAGATATTAATGAAGGTAAAGTCCTTGACTATTCCATAATTTTACATGGTTCCACCACTCAGTTAAATATTCATGGGTCAACAAATTAGTATAGAAAAGACACACAATCCCAACTACAATGTGTTCCCAACAGCCTTGACAGTTAAATCAATTTTCTTAAGTTCTTCCAGGTTTCTTTTATGTAAGTATGCAACTGTGAGCTATGAAATATATATTATAAAGACTCTTTAGCTCATTTTACCCCAAGTTAATAGTTTATTGGCTGATTATTTAATTAACACTGAAAAGTAAAAATAAAGAGTAAAACACACAGAGTTACAGTTACAGAGTGACAAAGAAGGCTTCACAACTGAGACCCGTTTTTCCATTTACTTTTCAGCCTGCTTTGTCCCAGTTAGTCAGCTCAGCCACTTAATTCATCTGTTTGAAAAAAGCCTAAAATAATCATTTCCAACATGTTCAAAGAAAAAAAAAATCATCAACTCATGCTGCCAAAAAGAAACCCTAGATCTTTGTCATCAGCTGCAGCTCTAGTGCATTAATTCACAACTTTGAGTTAATTGCGTAGCCCACACAGATCACACCCAGCGACAGAAAGGAGAGGGGAAAGAGTCTCCCCTGAGCTGCGAAAGGGCCTCAGCAGTAACCTTTAAAACCTGCCCCCCTGTGTCATGATCACCCTCCCTGGGCCCATACACTGGTATGTGCTGAATTATTACCCTTATTATTTACTGTTGCTTAGAAGCTTCCACGATGTGGGGAGCAAGCAGAGCTACTAGTGAGAAGAACCTGTGCATTTATTCTTTCAAAGGTACTGAAACATAACTCTGACCGAAACTAATCTAAATAGGGGATCTTCATTGATGGCTCTTTTCCCACACTTCCACACCAAATTCACAAAAAAACAAAAACTAATGTGCACAGTAACTTACATGCACTGCCATGTCAAGACACAACATGGAGATTTTAAATGATTTACTTTTATGCTCTGGGTGCACAGCCTTCCTTTTTCAACACGGGAAGCCACTGGACCTTATATCAAATAGGCACAGGCTCATGTAATTCAAGACCAGAATAAAATAATGAACAGAGCAACGTTAAGCACTATGTCAAGTCAGAGCCACAGAAATGTCCTGTTTGCAATAAAATCACAGGACTGTCATGCTGCGTTCAACATGTTCAGCAGGCCTGAGGCATGACGCGGACCCTAAACAGCGAGAAGACTTTCTTTATTATTTAATACTTGTAGCTGTGACCCAACAGCAGATCAGCTCAGTCCTCAAGGAACATAAATAACTATGATTTACCGTACTTCAGTAATCTCAGCAGCTATCTTCTACAGCTCGCAACACCATAAGCATCTTGTTTCAGTATCTAACCACAACATGTCTGGATTTAAAAAATAGTTCCTAATCATCTGTCCATCTGGGCAATACTCAAACTGGGAATATCTCTCTAAATTCCAAAGGGTTCCCCCAGGTGGTTTCTAATTAAATGCAAAAATCTGACTTTAATTTTGTGAGTTTTTAAATGCTACACTGTGCAAAAAATAAACAGTGTGCAGGCAGCCTATGTGATACATTAAAATCCATGTAAAAGAGCTGGGAATTAAAAAAAGCCATCATTTTAACGATCTGCTTTAAACATAATTAAATCAATGTCTTTCACGTATCAGTGAAAACAGCAGCTGCATGATTTTGTTGTATACACACTTTGCAGACACTACTTAACAAGGCACAAAAGGAAACATTCATTGAAGCTGGCACATCAAATTAGAGGGGAATAATTTCTACTGCAACAGACATCAGATAATTTACAAGATGTTTATCCTTTTCTTCCTCGAAACTGAAATTTGTAAAGCACTTCAGTAATTTTAGAGCTTTTCTCTTTCCTCTGAAATGTTACCGGTTCCTTGTGCTGAATCTCAGCTCGTGGACCACAGATGTTAACATGTTTCAGCTCCCTCTCTTTGTCTATTCTCACACGTCTCCAAGTTTTTCTGTGCTTTCCCCAGTCTGCTGCTGCTCTATCAAGCTGTAATCAATCAGAAAATCACCCTTCAGGAACACAGAATAGGTCTGTGTCCTTAAGACCCAAACCATGCGATCGTCTGGTGCACTTTTTCTTCTTTGTCTTTAATGAAGCAGGATGAAGATTGGTTGTGCCACAAAGGAAAACTCTTTATCATGGATTTAAGGCTGCATTTTATTAAACATTAAATAAGTCATATTTTAAATCCACACTAATGTTGCATTTATTTAACTTCAGACAAAATTTAAATATGTAAAGCACACAATGTATAAATTTGCTAAACGGAGATTTAATATTGAACATTCTCATGTCCTTAACCAATATTTAAAATATGAATTTGTCAGTATTAAAACAGCAAATGGTGTTTCGTAAGAGCTGCGTTTTTTAAATTATTTTAAATAAATTGTGATACTCAGAAATCCCTTAATGTCTTCTGAAAAATCTTTCCTGATCAACAGGTTGTAAAATGTATTTAAATCAAGACCGTCAATAAATCCCAATTTTTCCACAATAAAATAGATAAATACTTGTTTAAAACTACATACTGTATGTTGATGTCTTCTAATATATTTTTTATTTAGCCAAAAATGTCGAGGCCTTATTCTATTAGACATTTTTAGTAGACAAATCACAAAGTAATTCCAAAATGTGTTTTCAACGAATAACTAACAAGACTGATTCCACGGTCCTTTATTATTGACAAAAGCTTTAAACCATTATTCTGTTGCTGAGAATACTCAAAGTAGTTCCTACAGAGGTTAGACGGTATAACACAATCTTCACAACTGAGCAGAAAGACTGCTGCCGTCAGCGGGTATGATTGTTAACCTGTAGGGTTTTTTTTTCCCTCAAATTAGATGTAGATTTTTACTCTGAGAGATTTGCAAACATTAATAATAACTGCAGTGTCTGTTTCATTGGTAGTCACGATGGCCTGGCAGTAAAGAATAAGAAACAACCACTACAAAACTCGCCGGTTTAAACCCTTTAAAAGTGGAGGGGGGGAAAAACCAGCAAACTATGTTGGGGTTGTTGTTGTTTTCTTTTCCTGAACATAAATAATAATAATAATAATAAACTTTATTTTATATAGCGCCTTTAAAGGTGGCTTCTCAAAGCGCTTTACAGGATGACAATAACAATAACAATAACAATAACAATAAATAAATAAGAAGACTACAACAATAAATAAGAAAATTTCACAATAAAATAAAGTATCTGGACGGCATTTTATCCATTTTTCCGCTCTTCCGAAGCTTAAACTAGCCGGTGCGTGAATCGGTGGGATTTAAAAGGGTAACAAGCCAGTGCACAGCTCGTCAGCATGCCCTTTTCAAGCTGGTCCCAGTTCACGCGCACCATGTGTGGCGATGCCCCACGGATTGTTATGCTGCTTCAATGGGAGAAAGGAGAAGCACAAAGCGCAGTGTCCACAGTGAATATCGAAAAAGTAACCATGGAAGCATTTGTCCACTTGTCAATGGGTACCTCAGCCATTCATTTAATCACATCACTGAATCAATATTTGAGCTTTTCAAATTTATTATTCCTGGGGTAAATTTGGCATATTGCGAAAGGGGCTTTATTTCCCTCGCTCAAAGCTTTTAATCTTTTTTTTTTTTTACCATGAAAATACTGTCCTCGGTGCGAGCTGTCGAGCATCTGTTAAACAGCACAATAAAAGGCGCTCTTATCCCGCCGGTTGAAAACGCTTTGGGGGCGCATCTTGGCACACGGCTTTGGAAACGTAATTAGAATTTCAGGACTGTTGACAAACGTTGCCATTCTGTCCGGACCAAATTACTCGCGATAAAGTTTAAGAAGTTTCTAACAGAGGCAGCTTAATAGCATAAACAAACAAACTGACTGATGAAAACAAAAACTACGAAGACAAAACGCGTTGAAATCTGCGTCATGTGCCCCGAGTTAAACAAACGCAATCCGCAGGGGGAAAAAAGTAGCTTCAAATTTTAGAAGAAAAACATTTTAAAGCAAAGACATGAATATAATGACTCTGTATTAATACAACACTTAGGGCACCTGCTTATAATGTTTTATAAAGAATTACTTACCTGACGCCTAACTCTGATTACCAACCCACGACAAATTCAGAGAGCTCCGCGAAGATACCATCTAGGATCAGTTTCCAGAAATATTATTTAACTGCAGCAGCCTCCTGTCAGAACATTGTGCCGGTTGACAAACACACTCTTGTGAAGCGCAGTCTTAATTCTCGCATTCCCGGGACCCGGTGCCTTATGTGCTACTGCGGCTTATCTCCCTGTACGCACGGAGGGAAAAAAAAACCCATCACCCAGGACACGCCGGGATAAAATAACTAGCAACTGTATTTCTTCTGTCTGGATGAACGAGGTCTGGCCTCGGTGACCCTAGGCTTTTTGTTCAGTTCAAGTGAATGATAAAATGCCTTCGGAGAGAGGGAGTTCTCCTGCACAGCCCTGATGCTCTCCAAACAAAACTACTGTATGCGCTAGCCCCCGGCGCTCTCCGCCGCACACAGACGGGATGTGCTCCCCTCATTCGCCCAGTGCCGAGCGAACAGCTCCACCCAGCGAGCCGTTTTCTTTACCCGTTTATTTGGGAAAAGCAGATCAAAATTAGCGTTCTAAAAATGACCTGTGGTAGACCACAATAAAAAAAAATATATATATATTCATTTCCATAACGTGTTGGTTCAAAGCAAATAGCGCCACCCGTATTCGTCATGGTCTGACCGCACAAACGACGGCCCCTGCAGCATTCGAAAGCTCGTATTAATTAATGTCCGTGTTTAATGTAAAGCAAGCATTGCTTTTCGTGAGCAGCAGTGATCCGAGAACTGTTTTCCAACTTTTAAAAGTCTGACTCCCTTCAACTACTGCAATTTTCGACAACTCCAACTCTCACATTGTGTAATGATTTTTTTTTTATGAATTTGTTTGCCCGGTAGCTTTCAGTTTGTTTTTTCGCGCGACAACATCATATTTCAAAGTTACCCTACTTTTGATCCACATTAAATATACAGTACACAGAAAATTATACTCTAAAGCAGAGTACCCCCCCCCTAAAGGAGGTTCCCAGGTCTATTCCTGGAGATCCCAACATTTACTGGTTTTCAATTTAGCCGACATTAATTAATTAATTGAAGACTAAATTGAACTAACAAGTTGCTTGACTGGAATATATGTTTTTTTTTTCGGCTCAGAACTTTGAAATTGTGTTTAACTTATGGGAAATACATTACATTACGAAAGCACACTAAGACCTGTTCGAGCGCTGAAAATAGTCCGACAGTCTATTAAGGGGTTGATTGCGCCGCCGGAAGCGGGACCAAAACCCCCGGCAGGAGTTGAGCCACCCGGATCAGGACTTCTCTCAAGCAGTGGAGCCTCAATCCAGCCGGCTTTGTAAATCTCCACTAAACCATGAATTTCCAAAAGGCGTGGGGCAATTCAGTGGTGATCCGGTAAGCAGGTGATTTGCTAAATTAAACAACTCAGAGGTTATTAAATACTCCAGTCTTGGTGACCTTTTGCCTTTTAGGATCAGAGTTCTCCTTATTAAATGCGTTACTTGCTTAATTCATCATTCATACAGTAATTTACAGGTGTTCCCAGTCTTTAGAAGCAGCTGACCGGTAGGACTGCAGGACCAGAATTGGATATCCCAGCTCCAAAGAGTACATCTTAAAAAATGGGGCCTTATTGGTTTATGCAGAACTTCCAGCTTTTTTAATTATCAGGCTCTGGATGGAGCGACTGAGGATTGTACTGACTGTGGCTCTTCACAATGTCCTCCAAAGGAGCCTAAAAATAAGGGATTCGATGCAGGACAAGCAAATTTGCAACTTTAAATTTCTAATGCTCAGTAAGTCGGAACCACTAGTGTTTCTGTTTTGAATCAAGTGGTTTCTTATGAAACAACTGCACAGAAACCATTAGTACCAGCATGGAGTGCATGAAACTGAAACGAGTGGAGATTTATATAGAACTCAGGCTAGACAGGATTCTTTAGGGAGCTAGAAGTAACTTTGTGGTACTGTACTGAGCACCAATTATCTATATTTTAAGTATAGTGTTGTGCACGATAAAATAGCAGCACATCTATGTTACATGTCCGTTTCAGTGTATTGTTGGGACAGAGCAATGAATCACTGCCAGACACATCTTACACATTAAGACAACTTTGGAAGAAGAAAATTCTTGGTTCTTATCAATTCAGTTATTACTGAGTAAGTACCAAATACCAGTATTCCCGAATGCTACAACAACAGAAGAGCGCTTTAATGAGAACTAAACAAACAATGAAATATTGAAACCCTTAGACAGGGAAAGCCTGTACAGTATATTGTGACACTTTAAGCAAGGTGGTGAAAAGTCGTGAAAGGAAAAGACTAGCATCTACTGTAAGCCCATTGTCTTCAATTACATTCATTGCAGATGTCAAGACACAGACAGATAAGTGTAAGTAGATTCAGGAAAAAGAAAAGCAAAAAAGCTTTTATCTGAGCTAAGGGTTAGGGTATGTCTGGCAAAGAGCCAAGACAGTTTGTGGATTCAAATACTGTGAGAACATTTAGAATAGTGGTCCTCTGTCCTGCTCCTGGGAGATTCCTGTGTCTTCTGGGCTTTGCTTTGACTGAGCTCTTAATCACTGAAGCTAACTGATCACTAGCTGATTAAGTATATTTTGTGAGTTTTTAAGAAAGTGAATGGGACTAGTAATTAGGAGATGCAAGCATAAGTGTCATTTCCACCTGTGTCTAAACATCATTAATCAGACACCTATTCAGAGATGCTTCGACAGAAATTAGGCAACAAACATCTAACAGGCAAGTTGAGGAGATTAAGAATGAAGTCGAGTTTGCAAAATGTCTTTGCCACAATGCACTTACAAATGAGTATTTCTGAAATTCAAGACTGGGTTCAGATATAGGTTAAAAAAAGTCCCTTTAATGCAAGCAGTTGAATTGCAGAGATTAATTAACCAAAATGATTAAGAGCTCATCTGGAAAGAAAATAAAAAGACACAGCAGTAAAGAACAACATTTTTAACCAATGCTTAAGAACATGATATGTGGAGACTTTTGTTTTCATAAGATACAGGCAAAAGGCACAATCAACACAGGCTGAATTGAATCCTTAAACCTGATCTTATGCTCTTAACAGTTAATTAAGAGGGGATTTGGGGAGGTGTTATTGGAGCAGAACACTTTGACCCTCAACTAATTCCAGTAAACTTTCAAAATGTAAGATCTTTATGCAAGATTTAATAAAAACATCAGTTATTAGAGAAACTGAATTTCATAGGAAAATACATTTTAATCTAGATTTGTGCAACATGTCTAGGTTCTAACTCCACTGTCTTTTAAGAATTAAATGTGAGTAGTTTTAAACGTATGTTTTACAGAGAGAATGTATGTACAATAAGGTTACAAATCAGAGCAAGCTGTCCAGGTTATCTTGTTTTACTAACGTAATGATCCAAGAATTATGTTTCTTAAAGAACTCATTTCTCTGTCCCAGAATAAAATGACTTCGATCTGCCACAACAAGGGAGATGGCATTTAATGTTGACAAGAGCAGAATATGTAATATAATGTACTGTAGATTACAAAATGCCAAACAATTGCTTTGAGATAGAAAGACAAAGAAACTGTCTATTTTTTAACGTCTATAGACAATGCATGGCAAACACACAAAAATAAAGGCAGAGAACATGTTAGAATATATATATATATAAAACTAATTCAAGTGGAGATTGTGTTAAAATTGTAACAATGCATCATTAAGGCCACACTTGGAATATTGTGTCCAATTCTGGCCTAGAACTGGTCCAAAAAAGAGTAGCATCCCCAGGCTTGAAGTAGGCTCATAGGCTAAAGGAATTGAAGGTCTGGGGGAAGAGGAGGAGAGGAAGGGCGCAGGTATAGGGAGAGGTACTGTAACAGAATGGAGAGACACATGAGCAGAGGGCTGGAGAACAGGAAGAGAAAAGGAGGCCTGACTTTGATCAAGGAACTACATCCAGGAGGCAGAGATAGGGGAGGAAATGTGTGATTGGCCTAAAACTATGTTAAATTTTTTAAGCTTATATTGTGTTTGAACATTTCTTTAGTCCAGGAGTTAATCTGAATACTCTAGAGTAGCATTTCTAGACTAGCAATCAGAGTGTGGTGCCAGACCCGTAGTCATTAAACCACTGATTTCTAAAGAGCTGATACAATTCAACTGTGATCAGTTAAACAGGAGATTTGATTTCTGTTTTAATTGAGTAACTAAGAGGTTGTTTGAGACCAAATTCTGAAGACCACTGAGCCCTGAAGGCTCATTCTTCAGCAACTCAATCAAAGTAAGATAAGGTGGGAAAAAGAGGAGAGAATTCTGTACCTGCTGGCTGTGAAATCTCCCAGTGACTTTTGACCATTTGAGTCATGTGATGTATTCAAGACTGACACATCTGTCGCACACATCACTCCGTGACTTTTATCAGGTGGTACTGAAGACGGAGCAGGAAAAAGAGATGAGCTCTAACATCTTCACGCATGTATCCTAGCCTGTCAACACATCTGACTCCAACAGGTTAATCAGTTATTCTTGCAAGATTAACAATTAAGGCTATGTTGTGTATGTTGTGTTTCTGAAATGCTGTAGTACACTACAGGCCAATGTCACTCAGTCTAGGCACATGCATTTTATTCAATGGCATATGTTTGCCCCAGGAAATTCTTAACCACAGCACCAGGCCTGATTAAGCAATTAGGGATCAATTAAAGTACTTGTTAGAAGGTGAGGAGAACTGTAGTGGCATAGAATGCAGATTGGAAGGCTATAATTCCTATCCACTCCAGTGTTTCACACCCCCTCTAGAGGCTAAAAATGGAAATAGCTTCCTTCCCTTGTTGCAGCTATTTAATTAAATGGCAGCAGACTCCTAATAAAGCATTGTTTTATTAACATGTGTTTTAGAATGAATGAATTCAACTTCTTTGTTTTGCTTCATTAGTTGAAGTGATTGCTTCCCTTCAGCGCACAATTTGGGTTTTACTACATTGGTAGTTCCAAGGCAGCCTTCTGTTGGTTTGAGATTTGTGAAAGCTGGACACATTTCTGTGCACTTTTCGTCTCTCCAGCCTGCACCACCAAGGGGATGTCTCTGGGATAAAAGGTGTTTGCTTTCACATACGCTGGAAGAGACATTTTTAGTGTAACCAGTGGAGAATGCCATGTGTGAATAACTTACACACAGTAGCCTAGGAAACCCACAATTGAGGCAGTAGGGAACTAGAAAACATTTAATGTCAAAGGCAAAAGCACCTCTTTGTATCTGCAGACAAAAGACAGAAGGAGTTGTTCTGCCCTTGAGAAGTGAAAATATTAACTGAATTTTGTGGGCTATTTTGTAATATGATCTAATAGTGAGAAAGATTTTTCTCTAGTATGTTTTCTTTTGGTAGGATTCATAGAAATGAAGATGCAGTATGTGCTGAAAAAGAAACTTTTACTAGGATTTTTAATCGTGAACCCTTGTTTTTGAGGCAAACAATTATTTTCTATTCATTTAAACAAAGTGTAATATCTGGACTTTAAAAAATACATGATAACACATGCCTAAGTGAACACTGCAACTTTTGTATAACTAAAGTTGCATTAGAAACTTTTCCTTATGCATGATGCTTCATACATAATTTCATACAGAATTCCCACAAGATGTTAACCACACATTTTCAATGTACAAATTATTACTATTGTTTTCAATTGTTTTTGCAGCTCTTATTATTCATTTGATTTCATTAGTCTAACCCTTGTTCCGTGAAATTACTCCCCCTCTCCCGACCTTTCTGAAGTGCGATTTTAAAGGAATATAAATGCAGGACTAAGAGGACTAAGTAGGTTCCAGTGTGGCCTATTAAAGGGGAAGCTAAGGAACAATTTTGACCTTTAAACAGAAAGCTTTGTGGGACCATTATCACTACTACTAGTGCAATAAGCAGACGGGTTCCCCAGGCAGACTTATTTTCAAAACAATTTCTGGACTGTATAAATGCCATGCTAAAGCTGATGATAGATTGCATAAGAAAAGTATACGTTTTAACAAAGTTATCCTGAAACGTGAATCGCACCTCCCCCCTTCTCTTGCTGACAGGGTCATCTCCACCTAAATCCTCTTTATTCATTTGCAGATCTCCTCTGTCCTCACCTCTCATCACCTCTCCTCCCCCCTGAGTTTGGACACTCATTCTCACCCGCTTCATGCCCTTTTCCTCCCCACTCCCCAACCATTCTTACCAACTCCATCTCTTATTCTCCTTTGCATTATTTATCTCTCCCTCGCACCTGAAGAAGGCTCCACAGCCAAAAAGTTGTTTCTTTTCTTTACCTTTCAACATGGAAAGGCCCTTGACCTGTTCCTTCGCAGCCTACGGATGCTGAGGCAGCTCCCGTCCTGACGCTGATTAGCTGACCGTATCAAAATGGCAGCTTTCACACAGGTGGGGAGATCTATGCACTAGTGATAGAATATCGATGGTCTTTCCCCACTCAGCCACGCCCGCCAGACGCCAACGTGCGTCATTGCGTCGTGTGCGCCGGTGACGTGGCTAAACAATCGCCTAGTTCAAGGACTGCAGGGGGATGGCGGAGTGAAATTAAGTCTGTGCCTCTGAATATAAGGTAAATATTTGACAACGCGGCTTTTATTGAGTGCTTCCAGGAGGCGAGGGTGCTTCAGCGGAGGCTGTTAAGTGTGGTTTGGCGCTTTACTGTGAGGCTCAGCAAGGCTGAAGTGAGGAGGCGAATGGAGATCTTGCTGGCGTGTCAACTCCAGCCTGCTCTGAGGTTTAACGTTTTCTGACCCCTTTAAAGATGGGGAGCGCTGTCCTTTCTGGGCTTTGCTAGTCCATAATGGCCTTACAAGCCTTATATAGCGTTTGGAGCACCGGTGTCGTACAGAAGACGACCAGAGGTTTGGTTTTCTTGCTTGCACTTCTGTAGGATAGTTTTTTTTTCTCGCTAAAGTTCAACCGAGCATCACTTCTGGGTTCAAAACGTTATTGAACGCCACATCCGAAAAAGTATGTGCTTTACCGCAGGTTAGCCAAATACTTAGAGCAACGGTATAACCGGTCTGCATTGTTGAGTAAGAAGACACGGAGAGCTGGATTAGATCAAGTCCAAGGTTCAAGTCCTGAAAATATGCAAAACCGCGGCTCGGCGGGTTAGGCAAATGTGCTTTATTTAACTGAGGATTATGCAGGTGGTTGAGGCTGGGGGTACACTAGCACAGTAATCCGCGACATTGATGCAATTATCATTTTTCTCGACTTCAGTGAGAGTCTGCATTTAAGCCTCAGAGCACTGTACGGTCACAGATGTGTCCCTGCTTTAACTCCGGTTCCGATCTGAGTCCACGGGGGGAATACAGTCCAGTCTGTAGGGCTGGTGCTGGCTGAGGTCTTGGACGGGCATTCGTCTTCTGGTTGAACGATGGGAAAATTGTTTTTGCTTCTGGAAATCAGCGAGGCAAGTCTGCACAAGTGTCGATGGCCAGAAGACGGGCTTAGGTAATGAATGGTTTCAGGTCTTTAGCAATAGATGAAAATTGGAGCTTGGCCTTAAAATCCCCGGGGAGTGTGGAGTTGTGGTTAGGCTGAGTTGGTGTTGTGCTCTTGAGCAAGGTTCTCCACTCAGATTGGTCCTGTGGGAGTCCTGCTGAATCAGTGGAGCACTGGCTTATCTATGAAAGGGAGAATTTATTGTCTGTACTACCAGGGTGAGCACCCTTTTAGTGTCATACTGTCTTATCATTACTGTTGGCTGACAGGAGGATCATAAGAACACTAATGTGTTTGTCCGCAATATGACGTCCGCAAAGACGATGTGGTGGCTCTGTGGCTAAGGATCTGTGCCTGTGGCTGGAAGGTTGCCGGTTCGTATCCCGTGGCCGGCAGAGGAATCCTACTCCGTTGGGCCCCTGAGCAAGGCCCTTAACCCCAACTGCTCCAGGGGCGCCGTATAAATGGCTGACCCTGCATTCTGACCCCAGCTTCTCTCCCTGTCGGTGTGTCTTATGGAAAGCGCAAGCTGGGGTATGGGAAAAGATGAATTCCTAATGCAAGAAATTGTATAGGGCTAATAAAGTGATGTTAATGTTAATGTCCTGCTTTCTTCTGAGCAGGGATTGAGTTTTGCCAGCTCCTTAGAAAGCAAGAGATACTGACCATTTAATATGAGGCTGTAGTTAATTTCTAAGACACTGAATTAGATTTTTGACCGTGGTAATAAATTTACCTGTACAGTAATCAAGCATGGGAGCGCTTCAGCTTGCTGTCCCCAGCCTTTGTCCTTGACCAGCCGTTCTCTTTCCCTCTTCCCTGATACCAGCAAGAAGCATGACGGGAAGGAGCCAGCCGTGTGGTTTCCAGCCTGTGAATGGTGGACATGCGTACGTGTTGGGAAACAACCTGGCTGGCGAGAGCGAGGTCTCTGAAGAAGACGGCGAGTGCTACGAGCTGCGGGCCCGAGGCCGGGAGCGGACGCGGAGGAGCACGTCCCGGGACAGGATGGACGACATCGTGTACCTGGTCCGGGACGTCCAGGAGGGGGACACGTTGAACGCCATCGCTCTGCAGTATTTCTGCTCGGTGAGTCTTCTCAGTTTTCCCTTTTCGGGGGTTGTGTGTTCATGTGTATTTACTGGACCAACATCCGTTTTGTGCCTTGTGTTTCTAAGCTCGTTACAAACCATAACAAGCAAGCAATAACAAGCTCTTTTGTTTCTTTAGACAGCACCCGTCTTCTGCAACAGGTTTTCATGCTGGACATGGATGAGTTTTCAGCAGCCTTGGAAGTTCCCAACATAATAATGGCTCTTGACCATCTCACATGGGTGTTTGTCTATAAATTTATGATTATTATAAAAATGATGAATTAAGGCTCAGGAATCTGGGTTACTCAATCCTTCTGAGAAAAGCTGCAGTATTGGTCTTGATATAAACCACTTGTGTGCTTTCATAATTATTTACAAAACCGCTTACAGCGTCTAAAATCTGATTGATATGTTTCATGCCTTCCAGTACTAAGAAAGTCACACAGTGTTCTATCCTGGGTCCTACTCTTTTCTGCATCTGTACTGTTGCTTGGAATCCAGCAGACACTAGGCCACCTCTGGTGTAGCCATTAATAGGCACCTATATTAAAGTCCAGTTTTGCTTGATTGCATCTCAATTTTGCAGCAGTCATACCTCAGGTCTTGTTAAAGAAGGAAACAGTTACCAGTATCTAGAATGTATCAGTTCCTGAGTGCATTGGTGTTTAATGTCAGCGCTTGCTGTAGACACTCAGCAGGGAAGCTGTGTCTCTTTGAGGGAAAAGTAAAAATAAGTGAATAAATGGCAGCAAAAAACACTCCCGCTGAGGTATTTTTTGCCTGAGTTGTTTGTGTCCTGTGTTGGTTATGTACTTTGGAATACTTGAGAAGATATACACTTTCAGATGTATCTTCCTGATGTGTTTCATAATACAAAGCAGTAAAACACCTCTGCTGTTACCTGAATTCTATGCTGCCTCCCCAGAACAGAGGTGATACCTGAACCGTACGTCTTTAGATGGATTCGTTTGCATATACAGTGCCTTTAGAAAGTCTACACACCCTTTCCAAAGTAACACGTTTTATGGCCTAACAACCTGAAATCAAGATGCATTAAATCAGAATTTATTTTACTTTTATTTACACATTGTAACACACAACCTCCAAATGAAAAAAAAAAATCTCAAGTACTCTCAAGTAATTAGAAATGAAAGCCCTGAAAAGTGGGTTGGATAAGTGTATTTGCATAACTTAATTAGCTCTTGCCTTTACCAAATTGCCGAAGCACGCAACCAGTCCCCACCTGTGTTCGGTTGCAAACGTGTTTAAACATGAGCAGTTCTATTGCTGATTTCAGTTCCTGTGAACAGGATCTGAGCATGTCATGATTTCAGACGTAATTCAGCTAATTCGTTCCTCAATATTCTGAATATTTAAATTCTGAATTGAAACGGCAAGATCGCAATTCCTGCTGTGTTTCAGGTCGCAGACCTCAAGAGAGCCAACAATCTCCTGAACGAGCAGGACTTTTTCGCCCTGAGGTCCGTCAGGATCCCCGTGAAGCGGTTCAGCGTCCTGACTGAGACCCACAGCTCGGCGGCGCCCCCGCTGGCCTCCCCTGGACCACGGCACTGCTCGGAGGCCCCCAGCCCCGAGGCCGCGCCCGACTCCTCCTCCTCATCGGCGGCGGCAGAGAGCGCCGGCAGCTTCCTTCAGGGTGTGGACAAGGACATCGAGCAGCTGGTGAAGTCGGCGGACAGCTCGCGGGGCGGCCTGAGCGAGGTGGTGTCCTCGCTGAGCGCGTCCCCGCGGCGGTCGGGCGAGGCTGGGCGCAAGCCGGCCGGCCGGAAGGACCCCTACTACGGGGCCGACTGGGGCATGAGGTGGTGGATGGCGGTGGCGATCATGCTGGTCGTGGGCATCGTGACGCCTGTCTTCTACCTCCTGTACTACGAGGTGCTGGCGAAGGCCGGTGTCGGCCATCATTCCACCACGGAGTCCCTGCGCGCCACCGGCCCGGCCCCCACGCCGGCTCAGAGCCCGCCGCACGGGCCCCCGACAGCGAAGCAAGGGGGCCAGCCAGAGGCACCGGGGCAGAAGGGGGCCGCGGCCCTTTCCCCCCGCGGGTGAGACCGGCTCGCCTGGAGCGGGGAACGCGCTCACGAGATTCTGTGCAATCTTTCGAGTACTCGACAGGACCGCGCATCGCGGTTTTTCGGACCGCGAGGAAAGACCATGGAGAGCGAAGAAGAGCGCGCGATGGTCAGAGATACTGCTATTTTATGAGAGAGAAAATTCCCCTTGTGTTACAGATTTCTTGTTTTCTTTAAAGTGTTTTGCAAAACTGCCACTATATTATATGATAAGGAATATTTTTGGTACTGTAAGTCGTTTTGGGTGAATGCCTCGTAATTTATAAGTGTAAACCAGTATTTTTTTCATGTTTTAATGAGGAGAATGCATTATAACTGAACTTTTTCTTCAGGTCCGTAACACATGGGTTTGTGAGTTTTTCCAGGAAATGGAAGCATTATTAGGCTTCTCTCTGTTAAGAGTGGTTTTAGTCCAATAAGTGCATAATAATAATGCATTTTTATAATGCAGAATTGTTACTTTAAACCTACATTAAGTTTTTTTTTCCTGTTATCTGTAAACTTGTCCATTGGATAAAAACAAGGTCACCTACAGTATACTTGTGTGCCTTCTCTTTTTGGAAAAATTTCAAGTTAATATTTGAAAGAAATAATAAATATATTTTGGATACGCAGCAGTGCTTTAGTGTTGTTTCTTAGTGATGCCACTGTATAGCACGAAAAAGCATGATTCTTTATTTAGAACACATTTCTTGTTCTTACCCTGTATCAAACAACTCCCACAGTTAATCTGTTTTTTTTCTTAAGTCCAAGTGGTTGAATAGTTTATGATTTATGAAACAGCACGTTAAGTTAAGTAATTTAGATATCAATTGGAAGAAAAAATGAGTATCCCCCTTTTCCATGATGACTGTTCCACTTCTGAATCCTTCACTACATAGGGTAATGTTTTAGAAACACAGAAAATGGATTGGGAAAGAAATGAGTTTGAACACTTCTTTGTATTTCTGTAGGCACTATGGTTTGTGTTACAGGTTTACAGGATTGTGTGAAACATTTAAGCAAATCATTCTTAAGCTTCTCATGACTAAAATGTATTTCTTTAATCGTAATATCCCGTGTTTGCTTTGTCTCATGGTGTGGACCGATTTGCAATGTTTAATTATGAAAATGTTGTGATCACATTTTTGAAAGATGTTGCATTTGGACTCTCCCCAGAAACAACCCTGCACTTGTCACTGTACACCACTCGTATACTATTTCTTGCTTCAGTAAGACATGGCAGAAGCGCCAATACATTCTTCTCCTCATAAAAGCGAACATCGGCGCTGGCAGAGATGGCGACGATTCGTGGTAAACTCGTACTTATGTACTTCTCCCTTTTACCTTTCCGTGTTTGTTTTTCATCTTTTTTGGACTTGGATCAGCCGTTTTACGATACGACAGAGCAAATTTTTTGTCCATGTCCGTTTGCCATTTGTGCCTATTTTTCTCTCTCTAATGTTAGTGGGTACAGCTGCATGGGGAAAAGCATTCCAATACACTTGTTATATTTGGCAAATAAAGAAGTCTTGAATCTTAAATCTTAAGGAAGGGAGAGTCACATTTGGTGGGAAAGGGGATTCTGGTATAGTTAGTAAATTAGTTAAGGCTTGCTAGAGAAACTATTTAAATCTAGATATCAACTATGCCAATCTAAAACTTTACACATCTTTTCTCCTGATGAACACCACGGTGATTGCAGTGGCTGTGCGGTTTGGGTCACTGGCAAAACGCCACACAACACATACAATGTGGAAGCATTTTCTTCTACATACTGTACTGTAAGGAGACTGAATTCTGAAATGTGCAGAATTTTTTTGGGGGGGACAGGAACTGCAGGTGCTCAAAAGAACATCACCTCGTCTGTGAATCATGGTGGCGGCTATGTCACAGCCTGGCCCTGCACGACCGCCTCTGGAACTGGCTCACCCGTCTTCTCTGATGAAGAAACTAGAATGGCAGCAGCAGAATAAATTCTGAAATCTCTGTCGTTTCATTGTTTTGATTGTGTTTGTTAAGGGTGTCTGGATACACTATATATATATGAACAATGGCTACTTGGTTCAATGAAATAAGCTGTGGCTGCAATAAAACACTAGACTGAGATGCGCACAGAACTTTATTTCTCAGAAAGTAAAGCTTATATCCTTGAACAGTGCAAAATATTGTTTTCTCTTCAGTATTGAAGGCAACATAAAGTTTGTGAAAAGCAAAAGTATAAATGAAGCTTAACCACAAATTCATTTTTTATTCTTGAATTCTCATTTCTAACCTGGTTCTTTCAGGAGGCGCAAATGTATTTTAGGCAACGTAAGACTGTTGGATGTAGCTTACTCCCCTCAAACAATTGACATCATCTGAATTGGTAATGAATGAACATCTTTAGATGCCATAAAGATGAAGACTCGTCCAACTCTCCCTAAAAACACCTATTTTTAGACACTCCTGTGACCTACTGTACCTTGCAATTGTACAGTCAGCTGTTTTTATATTGCCATTAAATGCAATAGATTTAAGTTCTATAAAATTCTATTTTAAAGGCACATTTCCTGTCTAAAATTGAAACAAACTAATCTGGATATAAATACTGAGCTATAACAGCAGGACCCTATTGCACCATAATAATAAATACTGTATGTAACTAAAAGTAGATAGTCAAAACTATAATTTAAAGTGCATCTGACAGGATTGTCTGTAAACCTTTGCCCCATGAAGTTTTAAGGACACTGTCCTTTACATGACACAGGTGTGATGCTTCACAGGCACATAGTTTAAGAGCAGGTTAGTAAGTGGCTTCATCCATGTTGTCATCGCTGCCAGCACCATAATCATCCCCATCTTCGAAGTAGGAGGCGATGTAGTCATTCTCCTGTGCACAGATCACAATCAGACATCGAACAATGGCATTATTATTGAGCCCACACAAAATGTTTTTTTTAGATTTTGCACTGATTTCAGTGCAGGTGTGTGAGCCTGCTCATTCACCATGGCTATTTTCGGAGTTTGTTTTTGCTCACTCTGCCTTTAAACAGGGTTTAAATCTGTGAGATTTTAAAACGTTTCTCAAATGCAAGATTAATACAGTCATTTAGTTTTACTATTATTTCACTAAGATAAAAATGGTTTACAACTTCTAACGAGCACAAAATACAGTGCTGTCAGAAAAAGAAATGCCATTTTTAAGATCTGGTTTTTGGTTTGTAAGCTGCTCATTCACAAAGTGCAAGAGAACACAGAAATTCTGCCAATTTAGCATTAAATTTCATGTAATGAATTTTTTGTTTGTTTCCGAAGCTTGGCAGCAACTACAATTCTTGGGAACTAGCACCATCTTGTGTCTTCCCTTGATATGACTTTAGTGGAAATAACCAATTCATTCATTGAGCAGTACATACACTCTCACTAAATTTTGATAATGAAACCAGGGATCTAGAGAGACATTCCAGAGAATAAGCTTTAACCCAGAAAACAGAAACACGTTTTTTACACGACACCACAATTTCTAAGTATTTAAAATGACTTTCACTTCATATTCATTACCTCCTCCAACTCTTCCTCATCGTACTCCTCTCCCTGTACACCTTCCTCTTCTTCTTCCTCTTCTTTCTTCTTCTCTGCCTCTTCTTCATCAGATTTCCTTTCTTCATCTTTCTTCTCCAGGTCCTGCACCAATGATAGTTCTCTTGAGTAATCACCCTACAGAGCTGCGATCAAGAAGTAAATCTCTCTGGGGTGGTGTGCGATAGATACACTTACCTCTAACTTACTCAAAATTTCTTCTTTTCCTGCACTTGTTTTTGGCTTAGATTTCTTGTTAGCCTCTGGGAATACCAAATAAATATTAGTTTCTGCATAAGATACTTAAAATTTAAGCGCTGGACATCCCAATAAAATCCCTTTATATACTTGAGGAATTGAAAAGGCACCACCATGATACCAAGAGGGTGAACTCATACAGATGATTATGTTTTTCATTTTTGTTCCCTCCAAGCAATGTTAATACTACACTGCTATGATCCTGGCCCATGTGGTGTTTTATCGTGATTGTTTCTTAACGAATGCCGTGAAAGGGTGTGTTCTGTGTGGTTCACCTCACTGGGATCCCATTGCCATTATTATCAGACGTCCACAGTGAACAGGCTAGACTGGCCGAACTCTCCTGGCGACTCGCCTGGCTCTGGACCAGGGAGCCAGAGAGTTTGTGGTGGGGAAGGAGGACATCGAGGCACTATACAGTACATTCAGTTAGAGGACTGAAGCTCTGTTCCTGGACTTCTGGTTTATATTCCAGATGAGCTAGAACCAACTTAATTGGACCCAATTATTTCCTTCAATTAGTAGAAATTGCAACATCTTTTCCAGGTCTCTCCTCACTGACTACTTGATGTTCCTATAAGATTTGCAGGTCCAGGGATGCAGAGCTCTAAACTGATGGATCCCATTGACCACAAGCTAGGACTACAATTTTAACAGGGTGTGTTTTATGCCTTCTGTTGCCAGTTTAGCACAAGTATAAGAGTGAAACCAAGGCGTGGACCAAACAAGACAGGGATCTGTGTCTTATATCACAAAATAGGCAAAGACTGTACGGACACATCTGCCATTTGTTATGCATTTCACAGAACTGTAACAGAGAGCCTGTGAGCTGTCAAGACTCCTTTGTGCCGTAACGCGGTATACCAAACAGTGTCGTAACCTTGAACTAACACTGTGTGCCGACATGACACTGACTGCACTGCCTTTTCAGAAACTTGAGCTGGATGGTTGAAAAGCAGCTGACGGTTTCACGTGTGGGGTGAGGAAAAAAAGCAAAACTAACTTCCTGTCCTAAATTTAGCTTTTCAAAAAATAATAGTCGTTCCCAGCTCCCTCTTTACTTACTGGGTTTTGTTTGCTTCTTCCTCTGTGGCATTAGTTCTTTCGGAAGGCGTCGCCAGTCTGCAAATTCAAACCAGCAAGACTCTTCAGTAACCTAAAACCGCATGCAGGAGGTTCATGTTTTTCTGCTAGTCCTCCTAATGGACCACTCCAGTGCCTTTTCTCCTTCAGGATTTGTTCTGGCTTGTAAAATAGCAAAAAAATAAATAAAAGGAAAATAAATGCAGAAAAGGTGGAAGGTGTTGCAGTAAAGGGCTGTAAATAACAGCTAATGGAAGAGGTCAATTTAAAAGTCAGAGCAGACATAATCTTCCCTTTTTTGGAACTAAAAATACCATCATAGTAACAGTCTCAAATGCCGCTCAAGAGGAATTAGATTCGTCCCAGGTAATTCCCCAGAATCAACCTCTAAAAACCCCCTTATGTCACCCACATGGGAATCAGCCTCCTGTCACAGCTGAACAAAAACTATGAAACACTCCCTCTTTAAATCTCTTTAAATTGCCCAGAAAGATAATCCAGCTCAGTGCAGAACACCATGACAGGATCAGAGTAGGCTTTAGGAGATTACAGAAATGTAAAACTCTGACCCAAGAGCTGAGCATCACCTAAACTGCACCAACTTGAAAGTTTAAGAGATTTAAAAGCTCATCAAAAATATTCATTCAACTAAAATGTGCATTTTCTGTAATAACAACAACTCTGTTGCTAAATTGGCTTTGAGATTCAGAGAGACTGATAGACTTAATCAAATGACAGAGCTCCACACAGCAGTCCACTTGTCCACACACATACCTGGTTTCCAGGTGTTGTCCCCTTCTCTGGTTTTTTCCTTTGTGTATTTTTCCACATCTAAACCGAAACAAAACAGTGCTGCATTTCTTGTCGATCTCCTTTTCATGCACTGCAGGAAGTGCTTCAGGTTAAGTGTAATACTTTTCAAAACACATTAGAGAGGGGCCATTGTGATGGTCTTCCTCGCTGTACATTGTATGTCTTTTCCCTTATTTCATTATACTCTGGCCCATTTCCACAAAAGAGGATGGATTAACCTCATTAAGTAAGTGCAGAAAGCATGTTAGCGTCCAATTTAATGTGATTTTTGTTTTGTGAATGGGGAGGGGTATAGTAATTTGAGGCTATAAAAGTAACTGAACATCTGTTCTAAAGGCAAATGTAATAGTACATTCCATTCTTTCCCTATAGTACAGTTATTATAAAGGTCTCAAGTTTTGCACCAGATTCTTATATACCATATTTTTTTTTATTCCAATTGTTAAATCTTCAATCACAAGCATTAGAAACCTGAAGGATGTGAAAAGTGCATTCTGTTCAGTGAAGCTCCTCTCTCTCACCTTTCTTTTCAGCTGGCAAAGGTATGTTGTAAGGCAGGAGTTTCACTGCAGCCCTCATCTCCTGTTTCAGGGCCAGCATATAATCTTGGTCTTCTCCCATTTTCAAGGGCACTGGCTTGAAGTCCACATCCTGTCACCAGCAACGGTTTCAATGGATTTTCCGTCAAGGTCACAACGGGCAAAAAAAATACATCCGGACCTTGTCACCGGCATCCCCTTCCACAAAACCACATGTGCCAAGAAGAGACACCAATGTTCACTGACGTACTTTTATCTGACTGATGTTTCTGTTGCGCAAGATGGTAATCGGACACTTCACATGCCTGAGGTGGTGCACCACTCTAAACTGCACAGTAAGCTAGATGTGTACAGTATGCCTACAGCTTTGATGACCTCCCAGCATTATTCAGGAGCAAAGCCGAGGGAAACAGAAGGATGCCCCAAATTAGCCTTGACATCTTCCAAACATGAGTCCGGAGGGAAGAAGAGTATATTCTCGAATGAACTTAAGTAAAACAGAGCTTGATGGCTTCTGTTGAAACTGTGCAATCATCAGCCCTTCGGCTTGAAGCTGGAGCTGCAGCAGTCTGTTCTACATGCATCCAGTATCCCATGGGGAACATAAAGTCATTTACATTTGAGACTGTGACAAGACCGGTTTGATGGCTGTTAGCGTGGCCTGGGCATGCATGCCACTGGCTCGCTCTTCTTTAGTTTCTCTGTAACTAAACACAGCAGCATCAGAATGAAATCTGGAGTTTTCATAAACATTGCGTAGAAGAAAATGTTTCCATACTGATTGGACAGCGCTTCACCACGCAATATGACGATAACCCACAAGATACAGGTAAGAGGTCAATTCTAATTTGATTTCATTAGCAATATTAGTACCACATGGATCTGAATTAAGACCACTGCACTTCCTCATTTATGTCAATAATAATTACCAATTATTACTAATTAGATGAGAAGGGACCTGAATCAAGTATTCAAAATCCCCTAGGGCACTGACAGAGTCAACTTAATGTGCTTCCTCTGAATCAACAGCGAAACACTAATCTAAGGACACAAGTGGGAAGTGATATTAGATCTGAGAAAAGAACACACCTCTTTACCCAAAGGGTTGTAGGAGTATGGAACACGCTACCCAGCCATGTTGTTGAAATTGATATCCTGGCTTCTATCAAGAAACTGCTGAATGAGATCCTCAAAACAATTCACTCCTAGCACCCACAGAGGTTAGATGGCCTAAATGACCTCTCGTTTGTAATTCCCCCTGTGTTCAGTACTGCACATGTTAAGTGTTGACGGAGAGCAGACACAGTCTTGCCTGGTGGTTTTTGCATGTGTTAGCACAGTTCATGGCCATGATAACCTGCTCCTCTAAGAGCACATGCTGCTCGCCGTTCGAGGTTTTTCGAGAGAAGCGCAGCCCCGGGTTCCAGGACGTGCTACTCACCGGGAACAGGGGCTTCGGCCTGAACGAGGTCTCTGGTAGCGCTTCCCCTCGGGTGAGGCCGAGGGCTTCGATATTGAAAGTTAAGGCGGCCAGACCCCGTCCACGGCCTCTTCCCGCCATCTTCACCCTGCAACAGAGGCGCCGCTTAGCTGGGACGAGTCTCCGCCCGTGAACATACCGGCGTCATCCCCAGTTGCCCAATTTTCCTCTCCCCCCACGGAGTGTCGAACTCTGTCCTCGTACTGGATGAGGAGCACTGAGCACTGAGGGTGGCTCGGCCGCTTCGTTCTGCTTTTCGGCGTGGACGGAAGCTCTCCCGCCTCCCTGGCAGACAACACCACACTGACACAGCCTCCCACTGCAGGCGTTCTGCAGGCCTGCGGTTACGGCAGGGTTTCTGAAAGACAAAGCTACCCCCTGCAGGGGGGGTCAGTGCTGGACGGAGAAAAGGTGCGTCTCTGCACGCAGTTCTATCAGCAAACCAGAGGGCCCTGAGAGACAAGCCCACACTGATCACGGCCAACGCAACGCTGCTGCTTAGCAAATTCAAGTTTCAGGCAGCTTATTGCACGACCCAGGCTTGAACCCGTGATCACAGAACCCAGCCTGCGCACGGGCAAGCATCTCAACCAGCTGAGCCCCTTGGAAGACCGACCTAAACCCGTCACTCCTGACGGCTATTGGTGTCCCAGTGTGGTCTTGGCTTGTACCCCAGCGATTCTGTGTTAGAAGGAAGGCTGTGCAGTCCAACCAAGAATAACCCTTGAAGCTGCAGCCACGAAGCAAATCGCTACAACATGGCTGAATCCAGACAGACCAAGTGTTTCAATCAGTGAAATGTCTACGATGGAGATACACAGCTATAGAATTAGTCCTCAACGATATCCATTTGTAAAAAGACAGTTGAAATGTGAAAGATATGTAGGATCCCTTTCTCAGTAACAGGGAAGTAAGAAAAATGCAGCAGCCAATCAGAAACTTGTAGAACAAGTCAAATTCAGCTGTCATTTTGATTTTCCATTTGACCCACTCCTTTTCCGATAAATGTAAAAAAACGGTGATATGCTTAATGTTATACTGTATGTCTAAACCTTTACTACAATATTATTTGTTATACTTTAATGTTTCACTGCAAAAAGTCTCTAAAGGTGAATGCTGAAGCCCATGGTGATCCTGGACCAGAAACTTCACCACAAGTCCTGACCAACCCGATCATGACATTTTAACAGACCATGGCCAACAGGCTAACATCTAAGTTTTCATTTCATATAGCAGAGCAAGCCTAAACTATGACCCAAATAAACCACAACCTGTATACCCTTTAATTCCTACTACATTTCATACAGTTATGTTTCACAGTTATGTCTATAAAAAACGTCAAAAAAGTTACTAGCACTTTTAATCTGACTAAACTAAATGCAAAGTAACATTTTAAAGTGGTCCTTCTCTGATCATAAAGCTCACAAATTCACATACAGTAACACCATGATTCAGCATATTATAGAGACCACCATGATCTTTAATATAGACACATTTTAGGAATAACCAATTAATATGAGCACTTAAGGAAAACCAGTACATGCGATAGCTGTTTCTGCTGAAAATGTGTCCTCTAAGATTAGATCAATGTTTGTTTCACTGTCCAGGATACGGTATACAGTATGTTTACAACTAATATAAGAGAAATATTGCTCAGATCACTGATATGCCGCAAACTCAGATTGTACAGAGATTGCTACAAGAGGTGTGGTGTGCCTAAATTCCAGTTAGCAGGTGTAAGATCCTTAAACTGTTTATCAGCAGTGACAGACTGCGCTCGTTAATTTAACCAAATTTACGCTTAAAAAAATAGCCTTTCATAATATTCATAACAGCAAAAGCATTTCGTGAAAATTCCAGAAAATCGATCTTCAAAGTGGAGTGGAGGCTGACTTAGAAATCTTCTCATTTAATGAACAATGATTTTTTTTTGTGATATGGGCGTATACAGTACGAATAGGCAAACATGTATGTAACTGTTCAGTTAAATTAAAAGCATTTAATTCAAAATACTATTAAAGCTGACATTAACCGTAATGAGTAAAAACACTGATCTGCGGCGCTACCTACCAAAGTAATAATTGGGATATTTAGTCTTTTCCGCTCGCCAGCAGCGGTTATTCTTCATTCATTTTCAAAGGAGGTCTGAGAAGCCAGTTGCCAGTCAGGCTCAGCACGCCTTCTGAAACAGCGATCGATACCTGCTCCTACAATCCTGGGACATTTCCAGCCCCGTCAGCGAAGTGTAGCGTGGTAGCTCACCGAACACGAGGCATGAAAGCGCTACAGTGGAGAACGCGACCCGGCACCACACAAAGATTATTAATGATTTTTTAAATTTAAAATCAAAGTCGGACTTTTTTTTTTCTTTACTTGTGATCACAAAAAACTGGTGCGAGGGAGTAGGGTAGGGTAGTGCTCTCGCAGCTGGCGCTGCTGTCTGACAGCTGTTGGTCTGGCGTGGAGTTTGCACCGGGGACCTGACCTCCTCTCACCTTCCGCGGACATGCTGATAGGGTTAATTTGCGTCTCCCAGTTGTCCTCGAGTGTCTGTGTGCGCCGGTGCACGATGGATATACTGTATGGCCACTCGGAATCCTTTAACTGCCGGGATGGCTCCAGTCTGCCGCGACTTTCCCGGGAGTGAGCCGTTCGTCATCATGAACAAATGCATAATTTACCCGACGCCCTAAACTATACATCTAATTTATTTTTTAAGTGTACGTGCAGAGAGCACTCGTGCTGGAGCATGCAGGTAAGAAAATAAGACGGGTTACAGCCTGGAGGAGGCGACTCGGCCTTTCTGATGACAAGCTCGGTTGCTCGTAAGTAATTGATACAAAGGTCCACCCTTTTCGCGAAGGAAGTCAGGTTGTCGGCTCTGGCAACATGACTGGGCGGCTTATTCCAGAACCCACAGCCCTTTCTGTAAATATTCCCCCATGTAATTAGATTTAAATCCCCTCCCATAGACGCACTTAATTTGCACTGGTGTTTTGCTGTTGATTTTGATCAATGGTCCCCGTCTTTGTCAGTGCATCGGGGAATTGTGAATACTGGAATCAAGTTCTCAATACTAGGTGGGTCGAATAGCCTCCTGCTTTGAACGTTTCTCTGTTCAAGATTAAAACGGATCCTTTCGTATAGCCTCTCGGGGCAGGTAAATAAATGTAATACCATGGCAGTGCAGCTACAGTAGCAGAAGCTGGACAAGCAATGCTGAAGTCAAGCAAAGAAATAAAACGGTAGACCTAAATCAGTATACAGAGTGTGAATACCAGGGTGTCACGTAAACGCCCCATAGGTAAGTTGTATTCATAGTAAGGGCAATTAGCACGTTACTTTACCAGTCTGAGGATGAAAAAAGTCAGATTTTGCCAGTGTATTGAAACACATAGCTGAGAGGCCACAGGTGCCTTGTGAAGAGATTCCTTAGTACTGCGTTTCCCTTGCTCGGCAGAATTTAAAGAGATTAACTTTTGTTAATTCGGAGACGGGTGATAAACACTTCTCTGTATGAAAACCTACCCAAATTAGTGAACTAAAACTAACGAATTAGTCATAATTAATACGGTAAAACATTTTTCACCTAGAAATCTACTTGAAACTAAGGGGAAAAAAAACACCGGCGTGACATAAACACTTCAGATAATAAACTACGCGTTTAAAGAACTTGAAGAAAATAGCCCTAAAACATTGCGAAACAATACAATGCATGTGCAACATAATTTAATATTGTTTTTAAGCATGGCCCCGTAATGATGATGATAATAATAATAATAATAATAATAATAATAATAATAATAATAATATTTTTAGCAGGTTCATAATGTGTCGTGGAGCTCAGAAGCCGAGTGCGAGCCTGTTTTTTCTACGTTATATTCGGTATTCTGGAGCGACCCACCTCCCTTTCAAATACAATCAGCAGCTTTTACAGGGTCTTTGATAGGAAATGAGCAGGTCTTCACTATAACTCAATTTATTAACATTTCATTTTCATTGCCCTCTGACTACAGGACATATATTCTCCTTATCGGTCATATGCCATTATATGCTGTGTATTACTACTACATGTCTTGTGGAAAGAAAGATATTATCGGGCTTTCGTTCACACCAACTAGAAACAAAAGCGCAACTATATTCCCGTCTGTCAGGCGCTTCAGAGGTCCTGAAAGTAGGAAACGTCCGCAAAGCCAACACCGAGGAGGCGGGATCCCGGCTGGTTTTGGTTCAGGGACAGCAGTCCGCACCGAGCAGGAGAGGGCTGCGCCTTTAAGCCGCCGGGTGTGGCCGGAGCGTGTCGGAGGGGCGCAGTCGCAGGTCCGAGCCAATCACGAGCCCCTCGGACCTTGTTTATCCACTCAGCTGCTTTTTCTCCCTGCAGGCTGAGCGCCTGTCGCGGTCTCCTCCTGTTCTGCACAAGTCAACCCTGGTTTGCATTGCGCCTCCTCACCGGACCGGACCGGACCGAGTCTGGATTCGGGGCTCCACGTCCCTGACAACTCGGTGTCTTTATTTTATTACGCGTGGGTGGGAGGCGGGTGTCGGGATGTCTGCGACGGAGTGGTACGCTCACAAGTGCCTGGGCGACGGCGTGTTTTGGATCCAGGAGAGGTTCTACGAGTCGGGCAACAGAGCGAACATCTGGCTGGTCCGCGGGTCGCACCAGGACGTGGTGATCGACGCCGGCCTGGGCCTCAGGAGCCTGCCGGACTACCTGCGCGCCAAGGGGCTGCTGGGCGAGGAGTCCGGCCGGAAGAACCCCCCGCTGGCGATCGGGACCCACGTCCACTTTGACCACTCGGGCGGGCTGCACCAGTTTCGCCAGGTGGGGGTTCACAGAGCCGAGGCCGACGCGCTCGCCACGGGGGATAACTTTGAGATGGTGACCTGGCTGTCGGACGGCGAGATCGCCCGGGCTCCGACACCCGGCTGGCGGGCCAGCGAGTTCAGAGTGCAGGCTGTGCGACCCACTCGCGTACTGCAAGAAGGTGAATATCTCTAGCACATATAGGCATGCACCAGAGCCGCTTGTGCGTGAAAGGGACGGCGACAGTGCGGTGCGTGGTCATATTGCGCGTAATGATAAGGTAAACTAATGCCTTACCGTTCCGGACACCGGTTTTCAACAAGTGGCGAAAAATACCCGTGGCATCTGCTTAATTAACAGCAGAGTTACACAGAGGCCGTCTCGCATTAGCAGAGCTAATCTGTCGCCCTGCTGGAGGTACGTTCAGCGTCTCTCGGCCCGACGGAGTGAGCTTAAAAGACGCCATACGGCGAGGAAGGTGGGGGAGGGCGCAGGCTGCGCTCTCGTTTTTCCGGTGTCGCATCGAGAAGACGAGCTTGAGTATTATCAAAAACTAAACATAGGTTTCCACAGACGTGCGGCGTTATATCTCTAATAAACAATTTCATTAACGTTGTTGCTTGGGGGTATTTTTTGTAAACGGAAAAGATATCCAGAACACAATCTTGCGCTCGGTGTATTTATGCGATCTGTGCCTTTCCGATTGATTTGGACGTTTAGGGCTCGTAGCCAATGAAGCAAATAAAAGCATTGGTACCGGGTCGAAGTACTCCTGTACCACACACTGCTATTCTAGACGAGCAATGAGAAAATTGCGTTAAGGAGCGTAATCGGTCCCAAATCCGATGAACTGCATCTCTACAGATTCATCCGCCTCCTTGATTCGTTACAAGAAGGATGACAGACTGCCTGCACTATAGTCACAAGCTTCCACCCCCCTGAAGACACCAGAGAGGGAATAATACTGTATCTCCAACTAGCAGCGCTCGGGGGGTTGAAACGGCCGCTTCGCTCTGCTGCTGGTTCCGCGCAACACTGTAGCCCAAAAGTTTGTCAAAGCACAGCGGTGCAGAAAAAAACACGTTCCCAATTAAATATCCTAGACTCTCTGAGAGAACTATATCTCTGGGGTTACGGGGAGATACTACTGGAATAACTGCACGTCTGCCTTTATTATTCCTAACCAGGAGCTGGTTATTGCGCAGTGAACAGGTGATCGCGCCGTGGCAGTGGGGTGTTTTGGGGGGGTGTCCCGGAGGGACTGCGCAAGTTCTGTGGCGTCCCTCGTCCGGGCAGACCGGGACAGGCGATGTCGGGCCGCTGTGGATCGATTTCAGCCAGTTCCGGTAACAGAGTAACTGGACCTGGGAGACTCTGGCCTGATATTTGCGCACATGACCTTCACAGCAGCGCTTTTGTTCTGTCCTCTCACTGATACTTCAGTGATCCCACTGTTGGCACAGTACGATTCGGCACAGCTCTTCTCACACCCAGCTGCAGGACACCGACGTTCCTGCTGAAAGAGACAAATCTGCAAGCGCTGATATTTCTGATATATATCAGAAATTATTTCTGGTATATGGGGAGCCTACATGAGTTTATTTCACTTACAACGGGAAACGTACAAAATGACGAGAGTCATTGTCAAAACCAGTACAGTTTGCAATGTGACCATGGGTTTGTATAGAAGTGGCATTTTTATAAAGCTTTTGGGAGATACACGAAAGAATGCACTAACCTTTACACATATTCAGACGTTAGACTTGAGGTCAGTCTCTCATGCCTTGACCATTCTGCCCTTCTATTATAAGCAGAAAACTAGTGAAAGACTTGGACACTTTGAAAATACTCTCAGCAGGGTTCAATCTGAGATGTCTACTACCTTGCAACCCACATACTGTCTTCAGAAATACATTAATTCATTAATTTCACATGCAGTGTTTAAAAATCCTCAAAAACGAAATCAAAGTGGACAAGAAGGCAGTAATTAGGATTTTAAGAAAATGAACTGGAAGTGAAAATTAAGTTTGCATGCAAGTAGCTGGTAAAATAACAACTAGTAAAATGGAAATCCTTTACTGTGGATAGTAAGCTGTTCTTCCTGTACCTTATATTCACAACATGAGAGAGTGTGAATGAGGAAAGTGCCCAGCTGTGATACCGTGACATCAGTATTGCACATCTTCAAAGCAGCAGTTGCTGTAAAAGTCTTTTAATGAACTAACACATCTGAAATACGTGACTTGGCTGGGACCCACTCGGAATAGCTTCTCCTGTAGAAAGACAGACAGAGCCTACGGCTGCTCTACTAGATTGTGGAACCTGAGATGTGGAAAAAATATCCCTGCTTTAGATGGAAAGGAAAAGTGACATCATGTTTTATTGACACTAATAGGGAAAACTGAGGGATATTGATTATCCATAGAATAACCATCCGTAGTTCCTAGCCTTAAGCAGCCTCCATTTTCCCTGAGATGACTCAAACTTTCCCAGGGATTTTCTTCCAGCGTGTCCGTGAGAAGTTTCACAGCCCACCAGTAATATTAAAGGGGGACTGTAACATTATTTTCATATTTCGGGGTCAGCATTGATGTACACAGTAACTGGTAAAACCTCCAATTTACATCACAAAATACATGAAATTTCCAGGTATGTGCAGTGCCCTGTCCTGCCTTTCACAACGAGGCAACAAAACTTGTGGTGAGATGATGTGGCCCCATTACGTTGTAAATAAGCCGGCTTGTGCATACAGCTCTTTTCATCCGATAGAAATATTGTTCTCAACTTCGAGACAGTTTTGCAGACAAATACTGCTTGTTAGCTCTGCATGCGGATCACGCTGGAATAATTCTGCGGTGAAATGTCGGCTGCGCTACCTGTACTTATTCGCTCGAACATCGCATTGCATTGGTCAGGGCAGGGACTAGTGAGCAGGAAGGGCCGGTTCACGTTGCAATTCTTGGGGACTCGAATAAGTTCCCAGGGGTCTGCCACAACACGGCGACTCCGAATGCACGGTTTTGTGCTTACTTTGAAATTTGTGAGTTTTCTTCTGTACTGTCGATTGATTTATTTTGTTACAGGTAGGTAGGTCCTTTTTCAGGCCATAAAGGCCCATTGGGGAAGGGGAGGCAAGGGCCACCATTTTTCTTGACCATCCGACACTGGAGGTGATGTGGTCAGCATCACGCTCCGGCTGACCGATTTCCCCCGTAAGGATTAACCCCGGGACTCGTTTGGAAAGCAGGCTGAGTGGAGCTGGGAGCCGTCTGGAAGGAATTAGGGCAAGCTACATCGCTTAACCCTACCTGGGATTGAACCCGGGACCTTCCGGTCAGGAGCTAGACGCCCTTGCCGTCTGTGCTACCACGGCTCCGAGTTGTTCTAGAGGTCTGAGAAAGTGGGACTGCAGTTCTCCTTGAAGAAGGTGCTCTTGCTGTTTCCTCAGGAGACGTCATTAACCTGGGCGACAGGCAGCTGTCGGTGCTGCACATGCCCGGCCACTCCAGAGGCAGCATCTGCCTGCACGACAGGGACCGCAAGATGCTCTTCAGCGGGGACGTGGTGTACGACGGCTCCATGATCGACTGGCTGCCGTACAGCAGGGTCAGCGACTACGTCTCCAGCTGCGAGCGGCTGGTCGAGCTGGCGGACGGGGGCCACGTGGAGCAGGTGCTGCCTGGCCACTTCAACACCTTTGGGGCCGAGCGGCTGTACCGCATCGCCTCCAGCTACATCGCCAGCGCGGGAGGGTGCCACCGGTTTTCCATGTGTGCCCTGAAGTCCGTCGCAAGCCTCGTTCTCCGTGCCTGCAATTCTAGACACGGGTGTTGACTGGGAAAGGCAAACGGCTGCTTTATACGTTTACAGTATTTTGTCTATGCTAACTGTCTCAATTGATGAAATGTGTTCGTAAAATTTAGCCCAGTACTGCAGTTGCACTAATTTTGACTTTGAAATGGTAATTATTGCACTAGTTTTGATTCTTAAATGTGTGCGTGTTGCAAATGCAATGATTTGGGTTTGCACATGGATGAGTGTATAGCTTTAAGCCTCGAGGTACAAAGAAACATACTTGAAGCACGTTTGCATTTTTTTCTGTAGCTTTCCAAAGCATGAAACGAGGAGTGGCGGAGCACATATCATTTGCTGGGAATTTTGTCTTGACGTGAGACATGGAGAAGAAGGTTTTTATTTTGGCTTTTCCTGGTTTGCTGTTGTGGAAGATGGAATGATCCCACTGATGTGTCCATCATCTGGTCTCCGTGGCCGCTGTGTGTCCAGAGCTCCGTGACTCTGGACAGGACCCTGGTGTGCCTCTGGGCTCACGTTCATACACATGGGGCAGTTTAGAGATGATAATTTACCTGGGCAGCATGTTTACTGGGGGTGGAGAGGAAAGTGTTCAGAGAACACGACAACAGGCCCCACAGGTGGACTGTTCACTCACACAAAGCCAGATTTGAACCCAGATCCTTGGAGCTGTGAAGTGAGGGCACAGTCCACTGCTCCAGCATGCTGCCACTCATACCACAGTATCATAAGCAAAGACAAGGACTTTTTTAAAGCACTTGTAGGCCTTTGACTGGCTTAGTGGCAATTCAGGGTGGTTTACCAACCCAATTTTATTCAGTTAAGAATGATTCTTTCAGATTCTTTCTGTTTTGTATCTCTGTGCAATCTTGATGCTGAGTTTCAAATTTTGAGTGTTTAACTTCAACTTAACTTGTGTTTCCCTGGATGACGCGAGAAGGCAGGTGGTCATAATTGCTAGAAAACCTGTCCTGTGCTGTGATGGGGGTAAACTTGGACACTTGGACACCTGACCCCTGAGCTTACTTTAGCCTTTTTTCCACTTAAAGTAGAGCTTCACCCCTCTTGTTTTTGAATGTAGGTTAGTTAAAGGGAATTTTTAGTTCTTCTCATAAGAAGGCACTGATTTTTAGTAGATGACTTTAAAACATTAAAACAGTATTTCTAACCATTCCAAAGAATCCCACAGTACTTTACTAATGAGAGAATTGACTTAAGGAGGACATGTTGTGTAAACTCAGCGTGGAGTTTAGGAAGAACTCCTTCTCTCAGGCAGTGCTATGGGATCTGTAGTGACTGTGTAGTCTGAACCTCAGTTTAATTGTTTAATTCAAACAACACCATCTCCTATAGCACGGTGTCCCCCCAAACTGAGGAACCGGTTTGAGAATTCAGGTCCAGAGGAATCGGCACCACCTACTGGTCTTCTAACATCTCTTAGAGCAGCTGTTTTTCTTTTAGAGGGCATGCCCATACTGACCTGGCCCAGGCTCACTTAGCTTCTGAGATGTGTCAAGAACACTGTCACACACTTAATTATACAGCAGAGGACAGTTTGAGCATTGCAATATTTGTTTTTTCAGATCTGGAATTCAGTAACATGCAAAGATCATGCATGTTTGTGAGCATTAGTTGCAAAATCACATTTATTCTTACTGGCCACCTTGTTTTTGTGCTGACACTTCTCTCAACAATCGTCTGAATTTAACTTTCTGAGTCACCATCTTGGTGTTACGAAAATACCTTTCTTGAGCTTTGACCAAAGCCAGTTTTTATGCGGACTTCTAAATATACTTACATGCATTGTGGCCAGTTGAGAGGCTCAGCTGGTAAAGGCTCTTGCCCTAGGGCAGGTGCTGCTCTTTGAACACGGGTTCAAGCCTGACAGAGTTTCAGCACACTACTGGCTCTGCTGAGCACCACCAAGGGGAGGGTGGGGTTACTTGGCCAGGGCACTTTTGGCTCTCGGCGACCTACAGTATGTGGCCTTCTGGGTTCACACAGGCATGCAGTCCTGTAGGCGACCTCCAATCAACACTGATTCTCCAGTAGGCAGTAGTGTCGTATGTGACATCATATAAAGCTGGATGGAGAGCGGGGTGGGGGAGTCCGCCTAATTTTCCTCACTCTCCCCCGTGTGCGGTGGTGGGGTTCGTTATTGTGGACAGACGCACCATAAACCCGCAGTGGGCTTTTCCAAATGCATCACAAAAATAATCTGAGATTCTAAATGGAAAAAAAAAGAGATTTTAAAGTAATGCAAATCTGTTGTTTTGTCCAGTCTATTTTGGGGTATTATTTTCAAAAGAGGACCATTACAAGTGTTAGTAACATCATCATATCACTTTAAAAAAATGACTTTAGTATTCATCAATTCACAGTGTAATATAATTAATAGGAAACAACAACAGCAGTGGTTTTAACTCAGTGTATTTGTTTCATAGAACATGATTGAGGATTAAGGGCTAACAGCTTCTTACCTTGTCTTGAGCAAGGTTGAGGAACAGATTCTCAAACCATGCAACCTGCCCATTCTCTTGTATCAGGACACTGGTTCACACACCTGACCAGTCTCCAGGAACACAGATGTACATGCTGTAGCAGGGATGACGTTTTTTGTAGTTTGAGGGCTATGAACGAGCAGCAGTAAATTGGTGACACTTTCATGGCTTAGACAAGAAGCAAAGGCCGGGTATAAGCCCAGTTTTGCCCTTAGTGCTCAACCATGCTATGCTCTGAGCAGCCCAGCTGGAATAAACCCAGCACGAAGGAATTCTGCAGAGTAACAGCGTAATCTTCAATTACACGACTCGGTTAACACAGCTCTGCACATACTGTATGATCACCCGCCACTTTCTGAGCAGCCAGCAACAAAACAATGTCTGTGTTGTGTGAAACTATATGTCATGATCATAACTAATATCAGTATATACATTTAAAAAAAAAACAAGACGGGAAAGTATTTTCCCCTTCAACTATGGCTATTTTACAGCTAACTTCTCATTGTGTGGGCTATTCCCCCACACATGGGTCAGAGAAAATTATTGGAGAATAGAACAAAAATAGGACAAGGTGACAGATGTTGGAAAAAAACAGGAAAATTGGGGAGGGGGGGGGGAATCTGGTGCCAGAAGCCAGTTCTACAGTATCTTTTTGGAAGAAATGGGAGGTTTTCTCCCAGCTATTCTTTTGTTGTACTTTTGCCTGAGTCTGCTAATGAAAGTTTCTCTTATTGAAGAAATCAATTTGCACAGTATCCTTTCAAATGTGATGTACTGTAGCTTGCTTAAAAGAAACCAATGCTTTCTCTGTCTGAAAGACAGCTGCCTCCTGTATGGTTTTATGAATATATATATAGTATTTTAAAATATTTTTATGTCGCAGGCTTAGTTTTGTGCTCTAAAATTTCTGAGGTTATGAGCTATAAAGCCTGTCTTAAAAACAAACATTTAACATTCTGTGTAATGTGAAACAGCTATTTAAATTGTAATTTGTTAATTGTCATTGCCCGATACCAAGCAGGTGTTATAAGTAGAACCATGCTTATTTAAATTAAGCTCTTAAATTTGAAAACTGGTTGGTTAAGGTAGACGTATAGCAAGTGGGCATTAAATGAATGAAATTGTATTATTTAGGTTATTGTATTGAGAATATGTTAACATTTTAACATGACTGTGGCTTGATACTGAATTGGCATTTTACTGGTCGAAAGTTCAATGCAACTCAAATAGTTGCAAAGACAAGTAGCGGCTTTGCTTTCTCCTACATCTTTAATCGGAGGTTTTCCTACCACACTTGAGCTTCAGTGGCATTTGGCCAAGTTCCCTTCTCTCTGCATTTAACATTTTCCATTACTTAACCTTACAAAACACGGAAACCTTGGAATTTGTACAAGCGTTGATGGGTTCCTGTGGTCAGGTGTTGCCACAACCTATCAGACATCAGAGAGACGAGGAAACCCAACACCCAAGACATTTTCTGCCCCTGGGTTGGGTTGGGCTTTGTTTCAGCCTTTCCTTCACTCGCAGTCCAGCTTTAACAAGTAGACACTTGGTTTGGCACTAAATATGGCAGTTCTGAAAATGCAGACACGTACTCCAGACCTGGACTATGCGACTGGCTGCTCAGTCTTCACACTTGCTCTTGTTAGCCAGTTCTCATCTCTTCTTTCCTTTTTGTAATTTTTCTATCGATTGATTGTCCTTGCTGATTGGAATAAACTCTTGGCCAGGTCATCCCCGTAGATGAGAATCTGTTCTCAACTATAATGTCTGGTTAGAGGATCATTGTTTAAGGAAATGGCATCAGGAAATGGTAGACATATTTCAGGGCTGTGTTCTTTGTACCACAATAATGCTGGCATTACATCATCACCTATTTCATGTGCCATAGCTTCTGGAAATATCTCTTTTTTTGCTTTACGTATAAGTGTTACCTACACTACATGTAAAGCAAAAACCTACCAACTACACTACCTAACTACTGACCATCATTTCCAATTCAAGTAAAATAAAACCAATTGAATCGTAGGATTGGCAGTCTATAAAGGTTTGTTTTGTTCACACTTTGTCACCTCCCCAACATTCAATTCAGGTAATAACTTATTAATCTCAATACAAAAAAAACACATACTCTTCCATGGCAGAAAGTTCAGTGAAGCTAATGTGTGGTAGAGAGTTGAATGTTGACAAAGTATTTTAAACACTATGTTGCAATGGAACATGCTCCGAAATCTGATAATGTGAACTTTACAAGAATTGTGTTTTATGTCCAATAGAAATTGCACATTAAATGAAATATTGATTGTGAAAATAATCTGCTGAACAAGCATTGTGCTTCCATTTCAATTGCAAGAAGAGACAATATGAATATGTTAATTATATTAGGCCTTGAATTGTAAATTGTGTGATGTGTTTGGGGAAATGTGAATTAAAAGAAAGCCAGTAACCTAAAACGTGTTCTGGAATAGGGAGATTCTTGGTTATACCATATGATATGAGTGAAATTTCCCATGTTTTGAACTTGTGAAATGAACTGCTTTTTATTCCACTGTAATAAAAGATGATAAGAAAAATGTTCCTCCATTGTTTTTTTTTTATGTGGCTACCAAAGTATAATCCCATTATATTGTGGGCATTGGGTAGAAAAGGGACCAAGGTTAACTGCATTCATTCATATTCAGAGTGACAGAGAAGCAGGAATTACCAGAAGCAACAGGAATGGTATGCTTTCATTCTTTCTGATACAGCTTGTTCCTTTGAAGCCTACTGTACGTACCTAGTTGAAGTACCTTGGATTTGCACAGCGCTTGTAATGTTGAGGAGTCCCAGAGAGCCGTGCGGGCAGCCGAGGGCAAACATTGAAGTGTAGCGCCCCCTGGTGTTGATGGGTGGCAGCTCGTTTTGCACCTGTTGCAAGGCAGACGAGCTGAAGAAGCGACAGTCTGCTGACAGATCCAGTTTAGCTACACAGGAGAAATCTAGAAACAAAAAATGATGTGAAATATAGCCAGGACACCAGGCACGTCAAACCCTCTTTTGTCAGTATGGCAATGGGGTATGAAATAACAGTAGCATACTAGGAGCATAACACAGTGCAACCTTCTTGAGCAGTAATTTCTTGTTTGGTTCAGGGAGGAGTGGCTCCTTACTGGCAAACCACCACCACTTCCAGGAGCAACCCGATTTTCCTCCGATCTGTCCCACCCAGTTAAGCACTGTCCCGGCGAAGCACTTAGCGGCCAGGGTAGTGTCTGTCAAGGCCAGCCTTCAAGCCGCAGCAGGAGAGCCGCTGATCTTATATTTAACGGATATCACTTCGTGTCAATTACAGCGACTGGGAAGTGTCTCTGCAGACTCCTCAGTCAGTAGTGCCAGGGCTTTGGGAGAAATTGCCAAAGCACAGAACAGGGACATTAAAACGAATGAAGCAAGAAACTGCCTTCTTCATGAAGTCACTACACAAACTATAGTACATCAGAAATGTAAATTTAAGAAATAATAGTAATTGTTTAAACTTATATAGCGCTTTTCTGGACACTCCACCACCACTGGACTCCCCTCCACCACCACCAATGTGCAGCATCCACCTAGGTTTCCGTAGTGTAGTGGTCACACGTTCGCCTAACACGCGAAAGGTCCCCGGTTCGAGACCGGGCAGAAACAGCCTCTTAGGGCGGAGCAGTGGCTCTGTGGCTAAGGATCTGCGCCTGTGACCGGAAGGTTGCCGGTTCAAATCCCGTGGCCGGCAGAGGAATCCTACTCCGTTGGGCCCCTGAGCAAGGCCCTTAACCCCAACTGCTCCAGGGGGGCCATACAATGGCAGACCCTGCGCTCTGACCCCAAGCTTCTCTCCCTGTCTCTGTGTCTGTGTCTCCCTGGAGAAAAGCTGGGGTATGCGAAAAGACGCATTCCTAATGCAAGAAATTGTATAGGGCTAATAAAGAAACATTACATTACATTACGGCAGCCATAGTGTGCCAGAATGCTCCCCACACACCGGCTATCAGTGAGGAGGAGAGCAGAGTAATGTAGCCAGTTCAGAGATGGGGATTATTAGGAGGCCATGATTGGTAAGGGCCAATGGGAAATTTGGCCAGGACACCGGGGTAACACCCCTACTCTTTTCGAGAAATGCCCTGGGATTTTTAATGTCAGGACCTCGGTTTTACGTCTCATCCGAAGGACGGCACCTGTTTACAGTATAGTGTCCCCATCACTATACTGGGGCATTAGGACCCACATGGACCGCAGGGTGAGCGCCCCCTGCTGGCCCCACTAACACCTCTTCCAGCAGCAACCTTAGTTTTTCCCAGGAGGTCTCCCATCCAGGTTAGCTTCGATGTTGGCCATACTTAACTTTGTCATTGAACGAGTCACCACAAAGCAAAGCCATCAGCCATATCAGCCCTGCAACTCACACCTGCTTAGCTTCAGTGGGTTGCCAGTTGTGAGTTGCAGGGTGATATGGCTGCTGGCTGGTGGCTTTGCTTTGTGGGGATAGGAAGAAGACATGCCTGAAGAAAGCCGAGACGTTGCGTTTCTTTTCAGCAGGGAATAAACCTTTACCTGTTCCTTTGCAGCCTGCGCCTGCTGACGCAGCTCCCTACTTGAACTACTAAAGGGAGTGCTTCTCTCCGGCTGGGAAACATTTTGAGCTTCTGTATGGGGGGCTGCAGTCACCTCAAGAGCCACAAGTGAACTGAGAGAGCCTCAGCAAATCAAATGATTGCCAGAGAAGATATCAGGTGATTTCTGCCTGGGAAAACTGCAATACAGGATGATCAGTGCAGTGTGTTGCTTGTGCAGTGCGTGGATGTATTTGCAAAAGTTGCAAAGCAACGATAAAGAAAAAAATTTTAACTTGAATTCATGATTAAGATCATGATTAACCTTAATTATCTTGTGATAATGTTGTAGCAGTTTTACTCATTAGTCTAACGTATTGCAAAAAAAATGACAACGTTAATTTCCATAATTTATTTCAAGTGTCATTTTATGAGTATCTTGCTAGATTTCTTATATAAAAACACCGTGTTGAGACGCTAATCTCGACTAATCAATCAGCACGTTTAAGAAAATACTGCCAGCAAACATCTACTCCAGTCACTCAAACTTCAGTCCCTCCCAAAGGCTCCTGGGTAAAACCGTTGCTTTACAACCAAACCAGACAAGCAAAGCGTCTTGATTGACAAGTAAAGGACCAATCATGATATTAGTTGTCTTCCTTGACACGCCCCCACAACAGTTCCGTCCAATAACAAATCAGTTTGTGGGCGACCGTTGAAGGATTTGTTTGGGTCTTTGTATTGTATTGAAATCGACATCTGGCGGTAGAGATTACAGTTGGTTGAGAGTTATCTGTTTTTTTTTAAGTGTATTTCGGCTTTTAGAGACATTTAAAAATAAACAATGAGTTTGTCGTTGAGGTATGTAAACGTTAACCTTTCAGCTTTTCAGTGTTTGAGTGTGTCTTCCTTTATTTAGCTGGGTAGTGGAAATGTCTTAAAGGCTTCGAGGAGATAAATGTCAGATGTGTTTTTAATTAACAGAATAGTTTTTGCAGTCTTCGGTTATTTAAAACGTTTTGGGTGAGGGATTGTAGAGATAAAGCAAAACTGATTTTCATGGCTCTTGCCAGGGAGTTACGGTAGTGTTTATAAAACTTTGTGGTCGCCTTTATGTTGTCAACAAAGACAGAGAAAAAATTATCATTTATCCATTATCTCACCCACCCATATGTAATGAGGCGGAAAAAAAGATGACGATAATGTGCATTGTTGTATTTGGTATAATATTTAATGTTACCCAAGCAGGCAAATCTGTTCGACAAATGGATTATTTTTTATTTTTGTATAAATATGAGAATGGCTCGGCATTGAAAGACTATAAACAAAACTATATTAACATTGACGATCAGTTACTTTTATATTTCACTTGACAAAAGATATGTTTACCTAGTTGTATACTGTCATTTTAACAGAAAACAACAAAGATAACAGCCATCATCTATCATCCATCTGTCATTTTTAAATGGGTGTCAAGTCTTTAGGTGGATTGAATCTCGTTTCGTAGTATAACAACATGTAATATAAGAATTATGCCTCTGGGCTAATTTTATAGAACACTCTGAACGTTTTTCAGTCTATACACAACAACACAAAAGCCATTACACATACAACCATCTGCATCTGAAAAGGAGAAATTTCTATCTGTTATCCCTAATCACGATGATGCGTTAAAATGGATAAGATTTTCCAGGCAAAGGAATTCTGAGCCCAATTATGGGGTGAATTCAATCAGGATTTAAAGATTCCTGCAGCTCCAACACATGGCTCACCAGATGTCTGCGATTTTTTGCAAATTCCACCTTTCAGGACAGAGATTGCAGCTGACAAAAACAGAAAAAAGAAGAGGAGAGAGCTGACAGAGGAGCAGAAACAAGAAATAAAAGAGGCGTTTGATCTCTTTGATACTGACAAAGACAAAGAAATCGATTATCATGAATTGAAGGTATGTATGGAGCCATGAGAGATGTTCACAGGGAAATGGGCATGGCTTTATGGAAACGGTCTTCTGCACTGTTGGGGGCTTCGCTTTGGTTAAAGGGAAATGATAACTGTAAATTGTTGTGGGGTTTCTTCAACTTTGGAATGAAATTCTGATGTAGACTGGAATTTGCATTATGATCATCCTAGAGAAACTAGAAATATATTTGGAGTTGTCCTAATGCAGTTTTTTTTAAGTTCCCAGAGTTCAGTTGTGCATGGGTAACAAGTATGAAAATGTTTTTCTTTCTAGATGTTTGGATGGAGGTAGAACTTGAATTGAAAAGTGAATTGTACTGAAGGGCTCCTATAGATTTTAATCCTCATTCAGAAAAACAAAGCTTTTGGATAAAAAGAAGGGAATATCTAGTTAGACGCCCCTTTGTTTTTAATTGAGTGATGCTTAAATGGATCTATGGTACACAGGCAAAGGGTGTGCACCTCTGGCATTAATCCCTAGATCATTAAGATATCCTCAACTATAGGGTAATCTCACTAATGCAGCACCCATTGTTTTTTAAAGGTTGCAATGAGAGCTTTAGGCTTTGATGTGAAGAAAGCAGATGTTTTAAAAATACTCAAAGATTATGACCGCGAAGGAACTGGGAAGATTTCATTTGAAGATTTTAATGAAGTGGGTAAGAAACCTGTCTCTAAAATACCATATGTTTTTTTGCTTTAATATTGTGGCTGTAAAAACAAAGTTCTAATTCTTTAAACACACTAAATACATCCTTTAATTTTCTTTTACAAAATAAAAGTGAATGTTGAACACAGAGCTGTTGTGAAATGAACAAAGTTTCAGATTGAACCACAACTTAGACCTTTCTGGCTGATGCAAATTTGAAGCCAGGGAGTTGTTTTGGGCGAGTCAGAGAATAAGGCTTTAGACAAAAAAATGCTGTCATGTTCTGGGTTAAAATGTAAATGTATAAGCGAGAACGGCTGGGTAGGTTTCCAGTATTACATGTCCACACCTATACTGGACCTGTTTTGTTATTACATGTGGAGATTTGTACAATTTTCAGTAACAGACTGGATGCTGGATCGAGATCCCCAGGAAGAGATTCTGAAGGCCTTCAAGCTTTTTGACGATGACGATTCTGGGAAGATCAGTCTCAGAAACCTGCGCCGTGTGGCCAGAGAACTTGGGGAGAATATGACCGATGAGGAGTTGCGGGCCATGATTGATGAATTTGACAAAGACGGGGATGGGGAAAGTAAGTCAGATCTTTGGTAGAAGATTTTAAATTATCACACCTATTTCCAAGCAGTGTAGTAATAGGCTGTATTTTGTAAATATTAACACTAATGCTAGTAAGAAGGATAGATTTGTTTTTTAAAAAAGAACATTTTGAAAACAATTGAAGATTTATAATGAAATGCTTTGAGCTCTTCTAAACTTAAAATAATTTTAGCTTCGACTTACACTGAACCTTGATATTTTTTCTTAGAAACGGGATCGGTTTACTTGCTCATCATTGTAAGAACATAGGATCTTTTTGTATCAACTTGACCAGAGCTTCCCACAGCAGGAGACTGATTTTGTTTGTTTTATGTAGAGGCCAGATATTTAAGCTCAGTGATGACTTGAGGTGCACTTTCTTTTGAAGTGGTGGTAGGGAGCAGTCATGCTTGAAATAGATCTGTTTTTGAAAATGTGAACATATTTACAATGTCAGTAGCCCTATGAGTGTTTCTCTATATCCAGGTAGGTGTTCTGTAGGATTCATTTACAATAAGTAGAACTGCTTTAGAACTTAAAAGAGAGTGAGGAGGATGGTTTGAGAGGCAAAGAAAAATTCAAGGTCCTCCACATATTTGAAGAACTTGGGGTTACAAGTGTTCAAATCTACAACTGGACGCCACCTCCATGCCAGTCCGATGGAGTGCTGTGGTCTTATGAGATGAAAATCGAGTTGTTTAGCCACGCACACCAGCATGGGGGTGGCGTTCAAAGAGGGTTGTGTTCTTCGAAGGAAGGTTCTTCAGAACAGTGTCTCTGTCCTGTGGCTGTGGTCCCAATAATAATAATTGCCACCTGTACCCACTGTAAAATATGGTGATGGATCTTTTGCTGGCCTTGTGGCCCTGTTAAGGTCATTGGGGTCACAAATTCGACCAGGTACAAGGACATTTTGCTCAAAAACCAGTGTCTTCCTGGAGCGGATCTTCTAGCTAGACATCAGCTCCAAGGATACTTCAAAATCAACATTTTGTAGCAGCCATCTCAGTCTCTAGACTTGATACCCATTGGGAAAACCCGTGGTTTGAATTGAAGAGGGTGGTCCGTCAGCATACTCTGAAGGATATCAAGAATCTGGAACGATCCTGTATGGAGGAATGAAGTACGATCCCTCCAAATATGTTCCTATGTCTCATAAACCATTATCAAAAAGGCTCAGTGCTGTTCTTTTTGGGAGAGGGAGGGTGTTATACCCAGGCTGTAAGCAGATCGCTGCCACGATTCTCATAAGTACCTTCCCTCCAGCTGAGTCTGTGACAAGATCATGCTGCTTGTCTGTCCGATTAATAATTATTTAATCATTAACCACGGTATAACATAACATAACATCACTTTATTGGCCATATACAATTTCTTGTATTAGGAATTATTTTCGCATACCCCAGCTTGCTCTCCATGAGACACACGGACAGGGAGAGAAGTCTGGGGTCAGAGCGCAGGGTCAGCTATTGTACAGCGCCCCTGGAGCAGTTGGGGTTAAGGGCCTTGCTCAGGGGCCCAATGGAGTAGGATTCCTCTGCCGGCATCATGGCTTCACCGGTGCTCCATGCCCGACCTCATCAGTGCAGACCTCCGCCTATGTGCAGATAAAGCCGGCAGTCTGCCCATGTGAATACCAGAGCAGCCCTGCTCCTGGCAGCCGGTCTGCCTGCACACCCCAGACAGCCCTGCTTGATTCGTGCACTCATTTTCCTTGGCTCTCCTCGGAGAATCCCAAAGCCCCGCTTCTGGATTTCAGCCAGCCCTCCTGTGCTGCAGGTACTCGCCGTGAGACAGCAGTCGGACACCGTACTGAACAGGGGTGCCAATAATTGTGCACTTATATTTTGGGAAATTTATCGTTTTGGTTGATTCCATTGAATCATTATGTCAAATCTATTCAATGTTGGAAAATTATAATACAGCTCATTACCTGTGTTCGTTTTATACAGCCTTTTGTGCTCATCTCTGTCGAGTGTGCCAGTAATTTTGGAGGTGTTTGTGTAATTGCATTATTATACGTTATTGCTCGTATAAACATGCAAAACACTTTTTTGGGGGTTTTAATGTACTATGTTTAAATTGGGAGGCAATCTTAAGACTTGTATGAATCTGTAAAACATACATGTTTGCAATCCTTTAGGTAGGTTCCCATAGAGCTACAGTAATATTGTTGATATCTTCTATCTTTACTGTTGCGATTGAAAAATCTACAGAATTGGAAATTACTCAGGAATTGACAAGTAGGCACTTTTCGTTTTTAAGCTTGCAAACAATATAAATATTAACGCAGTGGTACTCATTTTGAATTAATTCTATAAAAGACCTTATGTTTATAAGGAAGAATCCTTAGGATACTGATATTTTTGATCCTCAATATCACTTCAAAAATGAGGGAGAGTTGTAAGTATGACTACAACACACCACACCACTTATACAAAACGGTATGCATCTTATCAAATCATCATTGAGCTTAAATATTTTGCTGTGTTTTATTTCTGATCTGTGTTTCACTGTGCAGAATAAAAGTGTTTGAGGTGGTGATTATCCTGGATTTTGGTAGTCTTCACACAGAAAAACCACATAAGATTTAGCAATTTCCTTGTGTTTTGAAAATTTGTCAATGAAACAGACAGAGATGTTTCTTGGCAGAAGTAACTGGGTTAAGGAATGCATAAATATCCCTAAATCCCACTGCCTGAAACTCTATCACTCTTTATGGCCTTATATGTAATCTTATTATTAACCACTGTTTATGTGGATCCTCACCAGTTATGATGATGGACTACTGCACAGTTACGTCCTCCAGCAAGTGTGGAAACAAACTGCAGGGCTTTAAGGCATGTTGTCTATGTGATAGTTTACAAATTAACACTTCCTTAATAAAACAAAGGAGTTTTTTGTTCTAAATTGTAAGTCCTTAAAGAATTATGAGATGTGACACTGAACAGCAATAAAAGGCAATGGTTTTAGGTGATTTATGAATCACCAGCAGCTTTTCTGCTCCCTTTTCAACATAGGGCAAAGGTCAAAAACATAAAGCCGCATCAGTCCTAATGTTGCTTAGTTTTCCGGATGATTTTAGGTTCCAATGAAATGTCAGTAGAAATGCATTTTGCCTATTTGTCCAGTGTAATTGGAACTACATATTTTAATGTGTGTACATCTGCTTAAGTTAAGATTTTTAAATTTTGATTTTGAAATATCTGGAATGAGCAGGTTGACTTATACCATGATGTTGTTAATTTACACATTTTTTGAAAGAACAAACAAAATGGTTAAAGAAGTTCTTTTAATTCTTTGTTTTCAGCATAGTTTGACCAGCACATTTGTTGAATGTTCCTAAGCTACAGTATATTCTGCATTTCATTCTCTTATACATTTTATTCTCTTATTTTGTTCCTATTTGAGTGTTAAGAGAAATGTCATGTCAACCCAGTGTGTTATAACTGGTATTTTAAATGTGTGTGGAAATGTTTCTTATTTTTACAGTAAATCAAGAAGAATTTATTTCCATCATGACGGGAGACACATAGAAGAACCCAGACCTCGCAGGACAGGAGGTTTTCCTGAGTTGCTGTTCATGCCCCCTTCTTAAGGTTATTGTTGTGTGTAACAAATTAACTCTTTCGGCATTTTAAAATACGTTTAAAAGTGGATAATACACCATGATCATGTTGCTTTTAAACAGTCTGACAGCTGTTCATCAGCACCAAACCATAAGTTAAGGAAAAATACATGTACAGTGTTACAAGTAAATATGCCATTTAAAAATACAGGCTTGTATTTAATCAGATTTTCAACCCCCCACTAATTAAGAACCAAACTAGTTTTTGCCCGCCAAGATGAAAACCCGTCATTTACATTGGGTTTGTAATTTGCGATTAGAAGATCAGTCGGATTTCAAATCTCATCTTGGCCCTGGTCAGCTATTGTAATGAGAGAGTATTTAAATAGATTCACTGTGTAGATTGCTCCTTGGCATGGTATAAGTTCACCAAGTGCTTCCAAGCCTCAGTGCATTGAAAATGTTCGGTTTCTTAGCATGCACAACTGGGATGCGGTCCATGACTTTTAAGACGGGCAGATACACTGTTATGTGCTATTGGGAATGGCTGACAAGGTTACATTTCTTACCTTTAAAAGGCTTTATATTGTTTATATCTCTTTAATTCCAAAACTGTCATTGTATTTAATTTTACTTAAATTAGTTATTATTCAATTCTCCAGTAGATCACCTTACCCATTGTCTGTGGACATTAAAAACATAGGTCACAAACCTAATAGTAACCATTTGACATGGAGACTGGTAGATTGTGTATTTTTACTTTACTGTTTGGAATTCAAAGTAAGCGCTTTGAAATGTGAATTATTTTTTGTATTCATTATAATATTTTGTATTTTTGCTAGATGTTTGAATGAAATATTTATGAATAGATCAAAAGGAGAATGCAATAAAACTGAATCTTTATATTAATGTCTTTGTTTCCTGAGTTGAACAACAATTAGTGGTCATATGAGTGTACAATAAGCCCAATTTAAAACACCACCTTTTAAAGGTGTACATTTAACACATTATGGTGCTTTTTCTTTATTCTTAGACTTCTAACGAAAAATTCACATCAAATCAGTGTGAAATAGGCAATGTTTTGAAGACTTGATGTCATAAAAGCTTTATAATACAAAAAGGAAAGCTTGAGAGGATTATAGCACCATAGGCAGTGGGGTATTCAGAATCTAGCAGTAGGAATCTTATCTGAGAAGTGTTTTCATTGAATCATCAAATAGAAGATTTGAAATAATCTTTGCAGTGTATAGTACTGTATTTGTAAGTATTTTTAAAGCTGAATAAAACTCCAGGTCATTTCCAATAATAACCACTAGAGGGAGCTATTGCTCTTTGAGGTTTGGTGCAGGCAAAAAACATTATTGGTGGAAAAAGTACATTAAGGTTTTGTAGGGAATGTGCATGAGAAGTGACCATAAGACACAAAATTGTTTTGGCAGTCAAAGAACAAACTTACTGTTACAGACATTTTAAAAGTAATTTTCTACATTTTCATTGCTAAAATAAGTGTAGTAATAATCTCATGTATGATTGCCTTGATATTAATAATGAGTGATTGATTTTGACATTTATTTCTTTATATAATCTTTTAAAATAATATTTTGGCTAAGGAGTGAGTCGACAGTAAATTGAAACTGACCTGTTTTGGCAGTCACATTTCTATCTTAAATATACAAGGCATGTTTTACCAGATTTGTCTGGATTGGTAGTAGATGGGTCATGTTGAAGGAATCTGTTACTTTTCAGGACAAATTCTGAAAGTCATGTAAAACCACAGTCCCCGCTTTAAGAAATTAAGACATTAAACTGACATAAGTGGTATATTGTTGAGTGCATATTTGTTATATATTATACTACACAAAATTGCTTTAGTGGATTCCCAGGTTCACACTCTTGGCCTCAGTCAAACCTGGGCCATGAGGAGTTCTGTGTCGTTTTTGATGGAAGCGAGGATGGGCTCTTTCCGTCTCGGAGCTGCTTCAGGTGCCCTTTCCCCTGCAGACTGGGGCTCTGGCAGTCACGTCCTGGCTGAATGTGGCAGAGCAGGTGGGAGGCTTTACACTTATAGAGCGCTTTCTCTGGACACTCCACTCAAAGCGCTTTACAGGTAATGGGGATCCCCTCCACCACCATCGGTGTGCAGCCCCACTTGGATGATGCGACAGCAGCCATAGTGCACCAGTACTCTCACCACACATCAGCTCTCAGTGGGGAGGAGAGCAGAGTGATGAAACCAGTTCAGAGATGGGACTATTAGGAGGCCATGACTGGTAAAGGCCAGGGGGGAATTTGACCAGGACACCAGGTTAACACCCCTACTCTTTTCCAGAAACACCCTGGGATTTTTAATGACCACAGAGAGTCAGGACCTCAGTTTTACATTTCATCCAAAGGACAGTGTCTTTTTACAGTATATTGTCCCAGCCACTATAGCAGGGCATTAGGACCCACGCAGACCACAGGGTGAGCTCCCCCTGCTGGCCCCACTAACATCTCTTCCAGCAGCAACCTTAGTTTTCCCAGCAGGTCTCCCATCCAGGTACTGGCCAGGCTCACACCTGCTGGGCTTCAGTGGGCTGTGAGTTGCGGGGTGATGGAGCAGGTGGCATTCATACTGTATATACCACCTGGGATATGTTGACGGCTGTCCTGGTGGCCGAAGGCTGCAGAAGATGGGTCTGTGTGTCATCAGATCAGGGTGTCGTGCTGTCAAAATGCGTCTGGAAGCTCATGTTCATTGAAAAAATATCCTGGGCTGGATGTCTCCAGCATGTCCGAGTAAGATTTTGGTGACCGGCTAATGGTGATAAGTGCAGGATAATGTCTGCAAGATATCAGTGGCGTTGCCACATGGTGGGGCTGGGGGCTGTTTTCAGAGTGGTTTCAGTCACTTCGGCAGTGGTGGAACGTTTCCACAGCTATACCCGAGACACCTCGGACAGCCCTGCTTCACCTGCCAGGCAGTGTGTTAGTCACCTTCATGAAGCAAGACCTCTGTGGACCGTGAGGGATAGTCAGTCAAATGAGTGATCATTTTAGTAACACTGAATACCAAAGTTTGTTCCTGCTTTAGATTACCTTGCATGAATGAAGATTTAACTGGTATGCTACTGATAATTTATCATCAGTTGAGATTCTGTAAAATATTAGCAAAGCATGGACAGATATTCAGTGCTGACAATGTTAGGGTAACGTTTTAGGTTAGTAGGACTATGTTCAAATAGATAATTAAGATTTCAAAGAAACTCGTTTTATGGTAAAGTGATCACTAATAAAATATTAAACCTTTTCAACGTAATCTAAAGCATTACCCGTTGTTTTTCTCCAAGATATTTGGAATGTCAGTTCTGACAGATTTCTACAAAACACCAAACAAAACATGGTGTATTTTCCCCTGGGGAGGCTGTGGGTGTACAGTTTATTTAAGTGGACAATAATCCACAATAAAACTATCATTGTTTTTCCTATTATGAAAACCTGCTTTAAAGACATTCTTCCGTAGTAAAACATGCGTTTTGTTTTGAGATCATTGTTCTCTTAAGCTTTTATTGAAGTTACTTGCAGTCAGTTGCTTAAGGCATTTTACATCCCTTATTTCTTTCACATATAACCTCAAAATCCTTTATATCTCCATTTAGCACAATTCGGAAAGGCAAAGCTCCAAACAAAGATGGAAGTTCGTCTGCCCTGCAATGCACAAGCGAACCACTTGCACGGATCGGTCCAGAGCCCTCTGAAACAATTTAAGTGTTGTGTCGCTTTGCATTAAGAAGTAAGCAGTGGCTCTGAGTAATGCTCCAGCAATTGTCAGGTTCTGTTTCCAGTGGGTGTTTTTTTTTTTTATAATAACATGACATTGTAGCCTCGGGAGGGGGAGGGGGGGAGGAGACTGGATGTTTTTCTTCTTGGATAACAGCATTATTTGACGTCCAAGCATACTTCACATTATGTGCTAATTGACAGCCTGTATCTGCCTTGTGGATGGAAAAGCTGACAAGTGTGAGGAGTTTGGGGCGAAGTTAAGGGGGAAAATGCCAATCATGGCTGGACTATCTGCTCTAAGGCCAACGACACACCAGTAATCTGACCTGGGTTCAGCTTGCTTGTGGTTCACTTTGTTTCTGTTTCAACAGCCTCTTCCACATTAGTTCCTTTGTTTCATTCTAATGCCGGGTGACAACTTTTAGTGATTGATTAAGTACTTGCGAGAGGTGTCAGACTCGCTGGAAACTGAAATCTTGCCTGCATCGGCAGCCTGAGAAAGACACAGGCAGCTCAAGTTACATCTTACAGCCACTGATAGAAACTCTCCAGTCAGTGCTTTTGGCCTGCCCTAGCTCTGCTCATCATATCAATATGTACTGTACGTTTCAGAAGCCACTGGAGTCTAAGATGCTGTTTTGAAACATATATTGATATAGAAACTGCACGTATAAAAACCATTAGTTTTAACACCTTATGTTACAACAGAGTGCTATTTAATTATTTTTGTCAGCACATCTATTAATTTTCTAACCACGTCTTCCTACTCAGGGTCAAAAGGGAGCTGCAGTCTATCCCAGCAAGCAACAGGTGCAAGGCAGGGTACACCCTGGACAGTATGCCAGTCCATCACACACAGTCACATGCACTCACACCAGGGCCAATTTTTCCAAGACGACAATTAACCTGCCGGTATGTTTTTGGACTGTGGGAGGAAATCAGTGCACTTGGAGGAAACCCACAGGAACATTGGGAGAACATGCAAACTCCACACAGACAGCACCCCAGGAATCGATCCCAGGGTCAGTGGTACCCAGTACTCTACCGTGATGCCTTATACTGGTACATTCAAATACTATTTAAACATGATCACAGATATTGAGCAGTCTGACTGTTCCTTCTCTTTAATTATAGTGTATATGTTAATTTTGTCACCAGTTCAGTATTAATTAAAACATAGAAATGTCACTCAATAGGTTTGACATACATATGTAGTTATTTTGCTTCTGGTATTACAAGGAACAAATAGTTGTTACAAATAAGGAAATTATCAGTTTCTGTATGTTGCACAAACTGGTATGTGGTTTGCTTGATGTAAATTTCCTCCAAAAGAATTCAAAGATCTTGCTACAAAGGAGTATACAGTAGAAACACATGAAAGCATTAGAAGTGTATGTCAGATTCTGACTGAATGGGGTTTCCTGAAGTCGGAATTACAAGTTCAAC